CACTGATGTTTTCTGCCCCTTGTTATTTCGTAATTCTACCCATACCATCTCTACATCCCGGTTATCTGATTTGAAATCCTTCCTCTGTTTTTATTTATTCCATTCCTTATTAACAAGGCTACCCCACCCCCCCACCCCCCGACCCCACCTCGTTTTCCACATTGTCCATCCTGAAAACCCTGGAATATTTAACTCCCACCCTAGATCTCCCTGTAACCATGTCTCAGTAATGTCTACTCGATCATACCTGTTTGTATCTAACTGTGTTTTCAATTCATCTATCTTATTCCGAATGCTTCGTGCATTCAGATATAGCAATTTAATTTCTTACCATTTTCCCCCTACTCTCTGATGCCCTATCTTCTTTACTGAGCTTCTTACCCCTCTTTGACCTATTCTGTTTATCTCTCTCACTATTCTGTTCTGCCACCTTTAGTTTTCTTACTATTGCTTGCAATTATTTCTAATTGTATCCCCCCCACCCCTCCCACACACACCTTTACTAGTTTAAAGCTTTATTTACCTCCCTGTGTATTCGGTTTGCGAGGACATTTGTCCCAGCCCCATTTACTTGGAGCCCATCTTTTTGAAATGGACCCCTTTTCCCCCAATACTGGTGCCAGTGGCCAATAAAATGAAACCCCTGTGCTCCGCACCACTCCCTCAGCCATGCGTTTCACTCTCTAATTTGCTTATTCCTGTACCAACTTCCACATGTCAAAGGCAGCAATCCTGATATCACCACCTTTGATGTTCTTTGTTTCAATTTAGTTCTCAGCTCCTTGAACTCCCTCCTCAAATCATCACCACTAACCCTACCTATGTCATTGGTGCCAATGTGAAGAACCACCAATGGATCCTCGCCCTCATGTTTTAGATTCTCCTCCAGCCCCCCTGAGACATCCTTCACCCCGGCCCCAGGAAGGCAACAGAGCCTTCGGATCTCCTGGTCGTGGCTGCAGATAAGTGTATCTGTCCGCCTTATAGTCTCCTCCCCAATTACTACAGCTTTCTGTTTGTTTCCCTTCCTCCTCACAGGCTTCCTTGTCCACACAGGTTGCAAGGATCTCGTACCGGTTGGCCAAGGTTAAAGCCTGAGGACCACTCTCTCTGGTGTTCCCTTAACCTCCTGCCTGTCAGACACCCTATCCTGTCCTTGACTGATACGGTTATCTATACATTCCCTGAGCCTCAGGGGAGTGACCGCTCCAGGATGAAACTATCCAGGAAGCTCTCACTGTCCCTGATGCTGCGCAGTGTCTCCACCTCGGATTCCAGCTCAGACTCTCTGCCACTCTGAGCCGGAGCTGCCTCAGGTGCAGACATTTGCTGCAGATGTGGTCAACCGGGTTCGGCAACTCCCACATGGCACAGTCCTCACACAGAACCTGCCACCACATTGCCCCCTCTGCCACCCCCACTGTCCTCACAACACCTGCCACCCCATTGCCCACTCTCCCACCCCCACTATCCTCACACACCTGCCACCCCATTGCCCCCTCTCCTACCCCTATTGTCCTCACACAACACCTGCCACCCCATTGCCCCCTCTCCCACCCCCACTGTCCTCACACAACACTTGCCAGGCTATTGCCCCCTCTCCTGCCCCCACTGCCCTCACACAACACTTGCCAGGCCATTGCCCCCTCTCCCGCCCCCACTGTCCTCACACAACACTTGCCAGGGCATTGCTCCCTCTCCCGCCCCCGCTGTCCTGACACAACACCTACCACCCCATTGCCCCCTCTCCTACCCCCACTGTGCTCACACAACACCTGGCACCACGTTACGCCCTTTCCCACCCCCACTGTCCTCTGCTCCTGATGGCTGACTGCTCCCCTCGCTCCCCGGCCTCTGCTCCTGATGGCTGACTGCTCCCCTCGCTCTCTGGCCTCTGCTCCTGATGGCTGACTGCTCCCCTCGCTCTCCGGCCTCTGCTCCTGATGGCTGACTGCTCCCCTCGCTCTCCGGCCTCTGCTCCTGATGGCTGACTGCTCCCCTCGCTCTCCGGCCTCTGCTCCTGATGGCTGACTGCTCCCCTCGCTGTGGCTTTTATCCCCACTGCTTGGTCTCGGCTCTGCCCCTCGATCTCCTGCCTCTAATCCTGACTTTGTCATATTAACATCTCTACGTTGCTTCCAGTGCCTTGTACCACTAGAATGGCTGGATAAGCAGCGGGAAGCTTGCCAGGCAGCCACATCACTGACAAGCTACAGGGTTTTGGCTGGTTAGACCGCAGCAACAATAACAACTTGCATTTATATAGTTACCCCAAGCCTTGGCTCTCGCTGACCTGTGTCTAATTCTCGCCAGAATTAGGTAAACAGGATGTGTCCCTCCAGGGAGAGAGAGAGAGCGAGAGAGAGAGTGCATTCCACTCCAACAATCTATCCCTGGGGTTTCCATGTGTCGGGGGATACATGGAAATCTCAGCTTGGTTTGGAGACTGTTAAGACTGGTGTTGGTTTTCACACGGCTGAGCAGGAAAAAATACAGCGCTTTTCACGTCAGGAGGACATCTCAAAGTGCTTCACGGGATTTACTGTGAAGTGTAGTGACTGTGTGTCTTGTGGGCAAATGCGGCTGACAATTTGTTCACAGCAATGTCCCACAAACAGTCATGCAGTGACTGTTTAGTGTCTCATTCAATGGCATCTCCAACAATGCAGTGCTCCCCCCAGAACCAGCCCAGACTGTGGACTCAAAGTCCCTGACGTGGGGCTTGAACCCACAACCTTCTGACTCAGAGGCAACAGTGTGACTGACTTGAATCAGACTGAGACCCTGAGATGTCCTTTCATGTTGGAAGAGCGTCCCAAACCCGACAAGGATGGAGTTGGGAACCTGAGCCGGAAGGGAGACAAGGTGGGCTGCCATCTGCATGTTTGCCTCCACACGCACAGTCACTACACTTTATAAGAAATCCTGTGAAGTGCTTTAAGACCTGCCGTCACAGGAAGTAAAGTAATCAGCGGGTCATCAGCCTGCAGCCATGGAGGAGGCGAGAGGATGTGACACAGAGGGGAGAGAGGGTGAGATGGCCCTTTATGTCCACGTTAGACAAGAGCCCAGTCTGATAAATAACTCAGAGAGTTTGAGAGAGAGAAAGAGAGAGAGCAAAAGAGAGAGAGTGAAAGGAGAGGTGAGAGACGACTGGAAGGGAAAGTAGGCAGTTTCTGGAAAAAAGACCATAAAAACCATACTTCGCCTGGTGGGTTTGAAAAATGGGGTAAATAACGTCATGAAGTGAACTGTGGCGTTGGTTCAGGAGATTTTGAAATGACTGCTTCTGCCCCTGGACTGACCAATGGCCTCGATTCCCAGAGCTCACTATCTCGCCGGTCCACACTCTCACTCACTGGACTGCCTTTGGTCCCTCTCCGGGTCCTGATCAGACTCACTGGATTGTTGAATTTGAAGTTGGACGCTCACTGGTCTCTATTCACAAAGGAAAGGGAGTTTCTCCCGGTGTCCAACAATCCCACAGCCACTCACCACATGGGTGTTTGTGGGGCACTGCTGTGTGTACGTTGGCTGCTGCTTTTGCCTATAAAATACAGTCACCCCATTTCTCAGTAAAAATGCTGTGAAGCTCTTTGAGTTTTCTTCCAAATGTATGAAATGTTCGACATTCTCAGTGTCTCTGTGTGGAGATATTTTCTGATCTCACTGCTAATGGTTGTTCTAGTTTGAGCTGTGGAACCATCACTCAATGGATATCCAACCTGTGGGCAGGAAGATGTTGGCAATGCTGATGTGTAGTGACTGTGTTTAAATAGCGCCATACAATTTACATTTAGACAATGTCTTTCACATGGGGAGGATGTCTCCAAGTGCTTCAGAGAGCTGACTGGGCACTGGGACTGAGGGGGTGGGAGCCATGGGGGGTGGGAGCCAAGGGGTGTGGGAAGGAGAATACCCGAAAGCACGGGCAAAGAGGTACGTCTTGAGACAACTTTTGAACATGAGGATATAGAGCGCGAGTCCAGCACCTTTCATATCAGGAGGACACCTCAAAGTGCCTCCCAGGATTCACTGTAAAATGTAGTGACTGTGTGTTTAACCCAGAAGCTCTGTTTGTGCACAGCGACGTCCCCACAAACAGCTGTGGAGTGAATGAATGAACAATTTTATTTGGGATATTGTTGGCCAGGACATTGGGAGAGAGAGAGAGAGAGAGAGAGAGAGAGACAGTCCCTTCTTTTACAGCTCTGTCCACCTGAACAGGGTACAGAGAGTGAGTGAGGTTTGTGACATCTGAAGGACGGTACCTCTGACAATGCGATGTGTGTTGGAGCATCAGCTTAGACTATATGATTCCAAATCCCGATGCTGGAACCTACAACCTCAGAGGCAAGAGTGCGAGCGACTGAGCCAGACTTAATATTGCATTATATTCAATTGTGGAGTCCCATCACGTAGTGGTGAGAACATTCACCTCACAAACGAGAAGACCCGGGTTCAATTCCCTGCCTGGGCAAAACCTTAGGCAAGTTTCCTTACTCCACCTCCTCTGTTTACCAAGCAGTAAGTAAGATTCTGCTTGTTAGGCTATTGGCGGAGCCTCTGATGATCGTCTGCTGATTGGATTATGAGGGCATTCGATAGGGTAAACGAGGAGAAACTATTTGCACTGGCGTGTGGGTGGGTAACCCGAGGACACCAATTTAAAATAATTGTTAAAAGACACAGAGGAGAGCGAGGAGAAACGTTTTCACACAGCGAGTTGTTTGGATCTGGAATACATTGGCCGAAAGGCTGGTGGAAGCCGATTCGATAACAACTTGTTAGAGCGAAGTAGATAATTATTTTGGGAGGACAAGTTTGCAGGGCTATGAGGAGAGAGCGGGGGAGTGGGGTTGATCAGGGCTATGGGGAGAGAGTGGGGGAGTGGGGTTGATCAGGGCTATGGGGAGAGAGCGGGGGAGTGGGGTTGATCAGGGCTATGGGGAGAGAGCGGGGGAGTGGGGTTGATTTGGATAGATCTTTTCAAAAAGCCGGCCTATGATGGGCCGAATGGCCTCCTTCTGTGCTGTATATTTCTACGAATCTTTGACTGAGAGATAACTGAGATCAGCGCTCCAGCGCAGCGTGAATGGTGGAGTCCAATGCTAAGAGCCACGTGATTTTCTCCTGCTCTGTCTCTGTGGCACAGATCCACGTCCGCTTTTGGCCTCTGAGGACGAACGCATTTTTTACATCTGCAAAGACAACATAGGAGGCAAGTGACACACTGCATTCTTGTGACTGTAGGTGGTCACTGTCGCTGCCAATCGTCCCTTTCATTTCCCCCCCAAAATATAGTCCATTTTACAATACACTGTGTGAAGCACTTTGTCTCTATGACGTGATAAGGCGCTATATCAAATGCAGGGATTATTATCATTTATATTCATCATTCCTGCCAAGCGGCTACACCACAGCCCGGGACCTTACACTTGGAGTCGGGGATGTCCTGTGGCCGGAGGCTGTGTAGGGCCACGGAGGCGGAGAAGTGGAGGGTGGTGACAGAGCGACGCTTGAACGGCAGATGTGAGTGTGTCCGCAGCGAGATCACCAGAGCATCAGTGAGGAGGAACAGGCTGAGGTCCCTCACCTGCTGGTATATCCTGTCAATGGGAAACAGCCAGTCACTAACACTGACTGAGAGAGAGTGACACAGCCAGTCACTAACACTGACTGAGAGAGAGAGTGACACAGCCAGTCACTAACACTCACTGAGAGAGAGAGTGACACAGTCAGTCACTAACACTGACTGAGAGTGAGAGAGAGAGACACACAGTCATTCGCTAACACTGACTGAGAGAGAGAGAGAGACAGCCAGTCACTAACACTGACTGAGAGAGAGAGAGAGAGAGACAGCCAGTCACTAACACTGACTGAGAGAGAGAGAGACACAGCCAGTCACTAACACTGACTGAGAGAGAGAGAGACACAGCCAGTCACTAACACTGACTGAGAGAGAGAGAGAGAGAGAGAGACACACAGCCAGTCACTAACACTGACTGACTGAGAGAGAGAGAGACAGTCAGTCACTAACACTGAGAGAGAGAGAGAGAGAGAGAGAAAACAGCCAGTCACTAACACTGACTGAGAGAGAGAGAGAGAGAGAGAGAGAGACAGTCAGTCACTAACACTGACTGAGAGAGAGAGAGAGAGACAGTCAGTCACTAACACTGACTGAGAGAGAGAGAGAGAGAAACAGTCAGTCACTAACACTGACTGAGAGAGAGAGAGAGAGAGACAGCCAGTCACTAACACTGACTGAGAGAGAGAGAGACAGCGAGACACAGTCAGTCACTAACACTGATTGAGAGAGAGAGAGACACAGTCAGTCACTAACACTGATTGACTGAGAGAGAGAGAGAGACAGCCAGTCACTAACACTGACTGAGAGAGAGAGACAGTCAGTCACTAACACTGACTGAGAGTGAGAGAGAGAGACACACAGTCATTCGCTAACACTGACTGAGAGTGAGAGAGAGTGAGACAGTCAGTCACTAACACTGACTGAGAGAGAGCCATTCCTTACTCCACACACATTACGATGGTGAAATGACAGAAATGACATAATTGTGATCTGCTCTCCTTGAGTCCGTGTCTTACACACAATCTCAGTGTCCGGGTGTTTGCACAGGACAGGGTGTGTGGCTGAATGTGCTCAGCCTTGCAAATCTCCCACACTCGCACATCCAAAATCCAACCATCCATCTCACATCCCACCATCTGAGCTGTGAACACTCCTCTACCCTCTGGGTATCAGACCCTGTGTATCAGCTCCGCCCTTGGGAGTGTTTAACGCAGCAACAAAATCATATTTGTAGAGCGCCTTTCACATTGGGAGGACATCCCAACAGCTCAGTTTATGCGCAACAACGTCCCCACAAACAGCCATGGAACGAATGACCAATTTTATTTGGGATATTGTTGGCCAGGACATCGGGAGAGAGTCCAATCTTCGTTGGACACAGGAGTGGTGCCCGAGGACTGGAGAGTGGCCAATGTTACTCACCTGTACAAAACGGGACAGAAGGACAAACCTGGGAACTCCAGGCCAGTGCCTAACATCAGCAGTGGGGAAACTCCTGGAGACTATAATCCGGGACAGAATAAATCTTCATTTAGAAGAATATGGGTTAATTAGGGACAGGCAGCACGGATTTGTTAAAGGCAAATCTTGTCTAAAAAATCTAATAGAATTTTTCAATGAGGTAATGGAGAGGGTGGATGACGGTAGTGCTGTTGATGTAGTTTATATGGACTGTCAAAAGGCATTTGATAAAGTGCCACATGAAAGACTTGTAAGAAAGATAGAAGCCCATGGTATAAAAGGGACAGTGGCAGCAGATCCAGAACTGTCCGGGAGACAGAAAGCAGAGAGTTGTGGTGAACGGCTGCTTTTCTGACTGGAAGGAAGTGTACAGTGGTGTCCCCCAGGGATCGGTATTAGGACCACTGCTCTTCTTAATATAAATAAATGATCTGGACTTGGGTATAGTAAGGCCAACTCCAAGTTTGCGGACGACACAAAGTTAGGTAGTGGAGTAAACAGTGAGAAGGATAGGAGTCAACTGCAGGAAGACATAGACAGAATGTAAAATGGGCGACACATGGCAGATGAGTTTCAATGTGGAGAAATGCAAAGTAATGTATTGTGGTAGAAAGAATGAGGGGCAATATAGGCTGGAAATACAATCTTAAGGGGGTAAAAGAACAGAGAGACCTGGGGGTGCAGGTAAATGAATCCATGACGGTGGCAGGACAGGGAGATAAGGCTGTAAAAAGGGCATATGGGATACCAGGCTTTATAAATAGGGGCATAGAGTACAAGAGTCAGGAGGTTATGATTAACCAGTTCTGGGCACCACACTATAGGAAGGATGTTAAGGCATTGGAAAGGGCGCAGAGGAGATTTACGAGGATGGTACCAGGAATGAGGGACCGTGATGATGAGGAAAGGCTGGAGAGGTGAGGATTATTCTCATTGGAGCAGAGAAGGTTACGAGGACCTAATAGAGGTCTTCAAAATCATGAGGGGATTTGATAGGTTAGAAAGGGAAAAACTGTTCCCACTGGTGGGTGTGTCGGTGACTCGAGGTCACAGATTCAAAATGGTCTCTAAAAGAAGCCGAGGGGAGGGGAGAAGAAATGTTGTAACACAGCGAGTTGTTTGAATCTAGAAGTATTGCCTGAAAGGGCGGTCGAGGCCGATTCAATAACTACTTTTAAAAACGCGGTGGACGGGTATTTGAGGAGGACGGGTTTGCAGGTTATGGGGAAAGTGCTGGGGACTGGGATTGACACTACATTGCTCTATTCAAAGAGCCGCACAGACTCGATGGGCCGAATGGCCTCTTTATGTACTGTACGATTCTAGGATTCAAAAAAATTTAAAAAANTAATTTGGTCCCTCAATCCAATTAGATGTCATGTTTCGTGCACAAGTACAGTCATCTCACTTTACAGCATATTCTGTGAAGCGCTTTGAGACATCTCGTGACATGATGAGGCGTTGTATCAAGTGCAGGGATTAGTATTTTTATGAATAAATCTAAGGATCGTTTTTTTATTTCTGCAGCACCTTTAATGTTGGGAAGACATCTCACACCACTTCACAGGACTCACTGTAATGTGTAGTGACTGTGTTTATGGTGACCAACGCAGCAGCCAATTTGTGCCCAGCGACGTCCCCTCAAACAGCCTTGAGCAATTTTTTGTCTCTCGGCCAGAACACAGGGTAGAACACCTCATTTCTCTTCTATGCCTCCAATATCACAAATGAGTCATTGTTTTTGCTTACAGAGTGTGAACCATCCGTCACATTGGCACTGAGGGCGTATATAAGCCACCCTCCTCCCTCTCCCAGTTCCCTCCCACTCCCCACGCACTGTCCGTGCAGTTTGACGCTGTGTGAGTGTGAGTTGTTGTGAAGCTCTGAGACACGCGAGTGGAGCGGTCTGTATAACTGAGTTGTTCTGTGCAGTTTCGCTGGGATGGATGCCCTGGGATTGTCAACTGCAGGGAGGACTGTGTGCAAAGTCGTGTCTCGCGACACACAAAGCTGAAGGGCTCTGCCTTGTTGGTGGGGGCTATAGCTGCTTCCCAAGGAGCATCGAGTGAGCAGCAGAATGCAGAGCTGACCATCACCAGAAAGGAAGAGACAGTCAACGTCTCAGCCACCAGCCTCCTGGAGCTGTAACTCACCTCCTGAACGAGAGGGTGGAGGGCAATAAATAACTATCACTCATCTGAGGATCAGTCTGGTCTTTGTGTTTCTGAGAGAGAGAGAGCGAGAGCGAGAGCATGTGTGACAGAGAGATTGAGAGAGAGACTAAGCCAATGTGAGAAAGAGACTGAGAGAGACTAAGAGGGTGTGTGGCAGAGAGAGTGTGGGAGAGACAGACTGAGAGAGAAAGATAGACAGAGAGAGAATGAGAGACAGAGAGAGAATAAGAGACTGAAAGCGAGAGAGACAGAAAGAGAGAGAGGGAGAGAGAGAGACTGGGGGAGAGAGAGACTGAGAGATAGAGACTGGGAGACAGAGGGAGAGACTCGGAGAGAGACTGAGCGAGAGAGGCTGAGGGAGAGGGAGACTAGAAGAGAGAGAGAGAGAGCCATCCTAAGAGAGTGAATGAGCGAGAGAGACTGAGAAAGAGAGAGAGAGAGAGAGACTGGGGGACTGGAAGAGAGAGAGAGACAGAAAGAGAAAGACAGAAATAGAGACTGGCAGAGAAGAGAGACACTGAGAGAGAGATACTGGGGGAGAGAGAAAGAGAGGCTGTGTGTGTGAGTAGTCTGGTTGTGATGTGGGACAGGCAGAGTGGAGTGAGGGAGGGAGGGAGGGAGGGAGGGAGGGAGGCTGGGTGTATCGAGGCCGGTGCTGAGGTACCTGAGAGGAGCACAGATGGAGTTGTCAGGGCTGCTCAACTGAGACACTTCCTGAACGAGGAGCAGAGACCGGCCGGGCTCCAACAGGATCTGTAACACAGGCACATCCACTTCATCACAGTCCCAGGAGACTCCACCACAGACACTTGTGTTCTCATCGTATCTACAACACAGCGTATCTTAGTCAGGGGGTATCTACATCGCGCAGAAAGAAAGTCTGACAGGTCTTAATAATAATAATAATCCTTGCATTCGATATAGCTCCTTATCACGTCTTCGAGACGTCTCAAAGCTCTTCACAGAATATACTGTAAACTGGATTGACTGTGTATTTTGTGGGTGAAACCCGGCAGCCAATCGTGCACAGCAGCGTCCCCACAAACAGCTGTGGATTAAGTGACCAAATTATTTATAAAAAGAATTATTTTGAAGGAATTATTACCCCCAGAAAACTGATCCATCAATTGATGAAATAACTGGGTTCCTACTCACTGTTAGGTAAACAGAGGCGCAAGGAGTAAGGAAACTTGCCCAACGTTTCGCCCTGTCTGGGCATCGATCCAGGGTCATCTCGCTAGTGAAGTGAGCGCTCTAACCACTGAGCCACAGGACCCAAGGTTTCACAGAAACAACAAGGAGCACCGAGAGTGGAGGAGAGGAGAGGAAGGGGAATGTAAAGGCCACAGACACAGACACAGACAGAGAGAGAGAAAGAATCTGAGTGAGAGAGAGAAACGGAGAGACAGACAGAGAGGGGGAGAGCCCAGTCAAGTTTGGTTGTAATTAAGGCATGTATGAGGGTCTCGGCAGCCTGAGGAGTGAGGCAGTGGCGGAGTCGGGCAATGTTACGGAGGTGTACGATAGCAGAGCAGGTCATGGCACGGTGGTGGGGGGGAAAGGACAATTGAGGTTGAACAAGACGCCTCGGTTCCTGACTGGCTCAGTGAGGTGGAGTGGTGGATACTGATGCTGCCAGTGCCTGAGGTGCGGAGGCACTGGCGCGAGCCAATCAGAAGAGCCATGGTCTTGCTGACATTCAGCTGTAGAAAGTTGTCTCCCATCAAGGACTTGATCTCTGACAGACAGTCTGTCAGGACCGCAGTGGGGCCAGAGAAATAGAGTTGGGCGTCATCTGTGTACATGTTCAAGTTGACCCCATGTCTGCAGATGATGTCACCAACAGGGAGGATGTACAGGTTGAGCAGGAGAGGACCGAGGAGAGAGCCTTGAGGAACACTGCATGACACAATGTGTTTATGGGGGTGGGAACATTGCCAGTTGACAGAGAGAGGTTGACAAGGTCTGAGAGTAAAGGGGTGAGGAGATGGAACTGGGAGGTAAGGAGAGTGGTAGGATGGGGCTGAGGGAGCAGGTGGTGGGCTTCATGCAGTGATAAGAGAGGAGTGGGAGACAGGTTGAAGGTGGGGAGGGATGGGTAGGGGCCGGAGTGCGATGGAGAGAAGGGGAAGGGGTGATGGTTGGGAGGGTGGAGGCGGGCGGAACCAATCTCCTCGATTTTGTTCTCGAGGCTATCGAGCATCGCCTCACAGTTGGAGTTGGAGTTGGAGTTGGAGGAGAGTCTGCACAGAGGAGCCGGTTGGTAGTGGAGAAGTCTGAGGTTGTCCTTAGCCTCGATTACCTGGGAATGGAAGGATGATGTAGTGGAGGTGAGGGTGGACAGTAAGTGGTCCGGCCAGATCTGCGGGTGGATTGTTAAATCAGATTTGAGCCGGGTGCATTCAGCGGCTCACACCTGACCCCTGAGTGAACGGAGGTGGCAGGTGTACCAGGGTGAGTTGCGTGAGTAGATGGTTCAGGAGGTGAGGGGGGCAAGGGCATCAAGCATGGTGGAGAGAGAGCTGTGGAGGAGAGTGACCGACGAGGATAAGTTGACTGACAAAGAAACAGTCAGGCAGACAGACAGACAGACAGACAGACAGAGACAGTGAGAAGGAGACAGTGAGTCAATGAGACAGACAGACAGACAGACAGACAGACAGACAGACAGACAGACAGACAGACAGACAGACAGACAGACAGACAGACAGACAGACAGACAGACAGACAGACAGACAGACAGACAGACAGACAGACAGACAGACAGAGACAGTGAGAAGGAGACAGTGAGTCAATGAGACAGACAGACAGACAGACGGACAGACAGACAGACAGCGTGAGAGAGACCCAGCAGGTTATTGAGAGACAGCACACAGACATACAGGAGCCCCGGCTATCGATCTCTGAGCTTCCAACAGCTGCACCGCTCGTTCACTCTGTGTCTTCATCTGTAACACGAGAGAGAGACAGAGAGAGAGAGAGAGAGAGGACACTCAGAGCTGAGAGACATCACTGAAAACAAGTGTCTGCCATGAAAATGTGTGTCAGAGGAGAGACGTGGGGACCGATCTGTGTCTGCTCTTAGTTATGGTATATCTACATCACTGCTCATCTTAGTCATGGTTTATCCTCGATACGTCGGACCTCAGTCAGTGTGTACCTCAGTCATTGTGTACCTCAATCAGTGTGTACCTCAATCAGTGTGTACCTCAGTCATTGTGTACCTCAGTCAGTGTGTACCTCAGTCAGTGTGTACCTCAGTCAGTGTGTACCTCAATCAGTGTGTACCTCAGTCAGTGTGTACCTCAGTCATTGTGTACCTCAGTCATTGTGTACCTCAATCAGTGTGTACCTCAGTCAGTGTGTACCTCAATCAGTGTGTACCTCAGTCATTGTGTACCTCAGTCAGTGTGTACCTCAGTCAGTGTGTACCTCAGTCAGTGTGTACCTCAGTCAGTGTGTACCTCAGTCATTGTGTACCTCAGTCAGTGTGTACCTCAGTCATTGTGTACCTCAGTCATTGTGTACCTCAGTCAGTGTGTACCTCAGTCAGTGTGTACCTCAGTCAGTGTGTACCTCAGTCATTGTGTACCTCAGTCAGTGTGTACCTCAGTCAGTGTGCCTCAGTCAGTGTGTACCTCAGTCAGTGTGTACCTCAGTCATTGTGTACCTCAGTCAGTGTGTACCTCAGTCAGTGTGTACCTCAGTCAGTGTGTACCTCAGTCATTGTGTACCTCAGTCAGTGTGTACCTCAGTCATTGTGTACCTCAGTCAGTGTGTACCTCAGTCATTGTGTACCTCAGTCAGTGTGTAACTTAGTCATTGTGCAGCTCAATGAGTGAGTATCTCAGTCATGATGTAGCTCAGGGTGTATGTCGGTCAGTGTGTGCGTTGGTCAGTGTGTACTCGGGATTGTGGAGCGAGGGTTTACCTGGAGCAGGTGGTCCCTGGCTGCCCTCAGGGAGGTGATGGTGGCTGTGAGGAGGGGCCGGTCAGGGTGCTCGGGTGGGGTGTGGAGTCGCAGCCCGTACAGCAGTGTCAGGTATTCCCCCAACCTCACCCCGGGGCACAGCAACAGGTCCTGTAGCCTGAGGAGCACAGGATAGTCATCCCCCCCACAGCCCAGCCCCCCACAGCCCAGCCCCGCAAAGCCCAGCCCGCCCATAGCCCCCCCACAGCCCAGCCCGCCATAGCCCCCCCACAGCCCAGCCCCCCATAGCCCCCCCCACAGCCCAGCCTCCCCATAGCCCCCCACAGCCCAGCCCCCCATAGCCCCCCCACAGCCCAGCCCCCCACAGCCCAGCCCCCCACAGCCCCGCCACAGCCCAGCCCCCCATAGCCTCCCCACAGCCCAGCCCCCCACAGTCCCCACAGCCCAGCCCCCCACAGCCCAGTCCCCCACAGCCCAGCCCCCCATAGCCCCCCACAGCCCCCCCATAGCCCAGCCCACACAGCCCACACACAGCCCAGCCCCCCACAGCCCAGCCCCCCATAGCCCCCTCACAGCCCAGCCCCATAGCCCCCCACAGCCCAGCCCCCCATAGCCCCCCCACAGCCCAGCCCCCCATAGCCCCCCCACAGCCCAGCCCCCCATAGCCCCACCACAGCCCCCCATAGCCCAGCACCACACAGCACACACACAGCCCAGCCCCCACAGCCCAGCACCCCATAGCCCTCCCACAGCCCAGCCTCCCACAGCCCAGCCCCCCATAGCCCCCCCACAGCCCAGCCCCCCACAGCCAAGCCCCCCACAGCCCAGCCCCCCTTAGCCCCCCACAGCCCAGCCACCCCACAGCACAGCCCCCCATAGCCCAGCACCCCCACAGCCCAGCTCCCCATAGCCCAGCCCCCCATAGCCCCCCCACAGCCCAGCACCCCTAGCCCCCCCACAGCCCAGCCCCCCAGAGCCCCCCCACAGCCCAGCCCCCCACAGCCCAGCCCCCCATAGCCCCCCCACAGCCCAGCCCCCCCACAGCCCAGCCCCCACAGCCCCCCACAGCCCAGCCCCCCCACAGCCCAGCCCCCCACAGTCCCAGCACCCCATAGCCCCCCCACAGCCCAGCCCCCCACAGCCCAGCCCCGCACAGCCCAGCCCCTCAAAGCCCAGCCCCCACCGCCCAGCCCCCATAGCCCCCCCACAGCCCAGACCCCCACAGCCCAGCCCCCCCACAGCCCAGCCCTCCATAGATCCCCCACAGCCCAGACCCCCACAGCCCAGCCCCGCACAGCCCAGCCCCCCATAGCCCCCCACAGCCCAGCCCCCACAGTCCCCCACAGCCCAGCCCCCACAGCACAGCCCCCCACAGCACAGCCCCCACAGCACACTCTCAGCCCAGCCCCACAGAACACAGCCCCACAGCCCAGCCCCCCATAGCCCAGCACAGCATGCCATACAGCTCAGCCCACCATAGCCCAGCCCCACAGAGCACAGCCCCCCACAGCCCAGCCCCACACAGCACACCCACAGCCCAGCCCCACAGAGCACAGCCCCCCACAGCCCAGCCCCACACAGCACAGCCCCACAGAGCACAGCAGTCCACAGCCCAGACCCCACAGAACACAGCCCCCACAACCCAGCACAGCATCCCCCACATCCCAGCCCCCCAAAGCCCAGTCCCCCACAGATCACAGCCCCCCACAGCACAGCCCCACAGAGCACAGCACCCCACAGCCCAGACCCCTCAGCCCAGCCCCACAGCCCAGGACAGCATCCCCCACAGCCCAGCCACCCATAGCCCAGCCCCACAGAGCACAGCTCCCCAAGCCCGGCCCCACCACGGCCTCCCACAGCCCAGGACAACATCCCCCACAGCCCAGCCCCTCCAAAGCCCAGCCCCCCCACAGCTCAGCCCAGCTCCCCTCACAGCCCATCCCCACAGAGCATAGACCCCCACAGCCCAGTGCCCCACAGCCCAGCACCGCCCACAGCCCAGCACCACCCACAGCCGAGCCTCCCACAGCCCAGGACAACATCCCCCACAGCTCAGCACCCATAGCCCAGCCCCCCCACAGCCAACCCCCACAGCCCAACAACAACAACAAAATAATAATAATAATAATCCTTGCATTTGATGCAGCGCCTTATCACACCGTCGAGATGTCTCAAAGCGCTTCATAGGATATACTGTATTGACAGCACAGAATTAACTATATTTTGTGGGCAAAATGTGGCAGCCAATTGTGCACAGCAGTGTCCCACAAACAGTCATGGATTGAGTGACCAAATTATTATTTTTCAAGGGATTATTACCCCCTGAAAGTGATCCGCCAATCGACTAACAACCGGGTTCCTCCTCACTGCTGGTAAAGAGAGGCGTGTGGAGTAAGGAAACCCATGTCCTCTCACCTCTGAGGCGAGTGCTCCAACAACTAAGTTACAGGACTTCACAAATTGCATTTATATAGCGCCTTTCACATTGGGAGGACGTACCAAGGCGCTGGGGGTTGGGATCAGGAGGGGAGAAGGACAAGGAGAGTAGAGGGGTAGGAGGGTGGCTGAAGGCACGGTCAAAGAGGAGGATCTTGAAGGAGGCAAGGGAGAGGGCGAGGTGGAGGGGCTCCGGGATGGAGTTCCATAAGGTGGGGCTGGAGTGGCTGAAGGCCCAATAGACAATGGTGGAGCGGACAGGGTGTGGGTGAGTGTGGGTCATTCTCCCCACAGCTCAGCAGGAGTCAGCCCCTGCCAAGGGAGAGGTAGTGGCACCTCAGAGTCCCTGTCACCGCACTCCCATCCCGACGTCCCAGGAAGGCCCGGAAGTTGGGAAATACATCGCGACACTGAAAGAGAAGAGGAGAGACAGTCAGTCATGAGATCTCCCTCTGCCAACTCTCAGTGCGGATATGAAAACATTGTGGATAACAGGTCATGAAACAAAATTGCCAGAAACGTCCACCTTAATTACTGCACAAGTGCAGATACTGTGCGAGGATACATGGAGTGCGGATACACATCAGGATCAGGAATAGTTGAAGCATGTGGCTGGAGCCCTCTAGTGTCTATAATAAATAATCCTTGCATTTAATACAGCATCTTATCTCAAAGCGCTTTACAGAACACACTGCAAAGACTGTATTTTGTGGGCGAAAAGTGGCAGCCAATTGCGCACAGCAGCGTCTGTCCCACCGACAGTCGTAAAGTGAGTGACCAACTTATTATTACTGTTTGGTTTTGTTTTAAAGGGATTATTAACTTTGGAAAAACGATCTGTCGATTAACCAACAACTGGGTTACTGCTTAATGCTGAGTATACCGAGGTGTGTGGAGTGTGTGGGAGGAAACTTGCCCACGTTCCACCCGGCCTGGGAATCAAACCGAGGTCACTTGCGAGACGAGTGCTCTAGCCACCCAGCTACAGGACACTAGTGACTGTCACTATCACGGGATAAGTTTCCTCAGATGGCCCCCACCCTCACCTTATCCACAGTTTTCAGCACCAGGCTGTAATTGTTGAAGAAATTGCTGTAGGTTTTCAGGCCAGAGCAGAACCTCACAAACACGTCACCCAGACCCTGTGCCGGCCCCCACTCCACAAGCCGAGCACTTACGTCAGCCAGAAACTGTCTGTAACAACAGCAACGACAATAATATAACAATAATATAATAATAATCACATCACCCAGACCCTGCCCTGCCCCACACTCCACAAACCAGGCACTCACATCAACCAGGAACTGTCTCGAAATATAATTTAATAATGTAATAATAATAATATAATAACATAAGAATAATAATCCTCACATCAACCAGAAACTGTCTGTAACAATATTATGATAACATATAATATAATAATTCAATAATATAATATATAATAATTTATAATAATTAATATAATAATCCGTGCATTTGATATAGTCCTTTCACATCTTCTATACATTTCAAAATGCTTCACAGAATATACTATCAATTTGTGGACAACACGCGGCAGCCAATTGTGCTCAGCCGTGTCCCACAAACAGTCATGGAGCCAATGACCAAATTTTATTTGGGGGATTGTTGGCCAGGACTCCCACCAGCTCTGCACTGCAGAGTCAGCTTAGACGATGTGATTCCACGTCTCGATGTGGGGCTTGAACCCACAACCTTCTGACTCAGAAGCGAGAGAGAGGGAGAGAGAGCACTATCACTGAGCCAGACTGACACATGACAGACTAACCCCCACCCCTGAGAAACAGCCACAGTCACCAAAATACCAATCCCCACCTCATCTCCACCAGGAAAGAGATTGAATGAAGTTCAGAGTGAGTTACAGGCTACAATCCAATCCAGGGGTTCGGGGGGTTATATAATAATAATAATCCTTGCATTTGATGAAGCTCCTTCGCACGTATTCAAGACGTCTCAAAGAGCTTCACAGGATACACTGTAAAGTGAATGGACTGTATATTTTGTAGGTGAAATACAGCAGCGAATTACACACAGCAGTGTCTGTCCCACAAACAGTCGTGGATTGAGAGATCAAATTATTATTGTTTGTTTTGGAATCCGCCAATCGACTAAGATTAGTCTCTGCCCGGGAATCGAACCCAGGTCCTCTCGCTAGTGAGGCGGTGCTCTAACCACTAAGGTGCAGGACCCCACGGTTAAATGTACAACTAACTGAGGCTGTGGCAGCTTCGCTTGCAACCAAAGGATCCAATATGGAATGTAGATTGGCACACAGTCAGACATTTCATCTTTATCTCATCTGAGAGGACTCCAGTGGGAGGATTCCAGTGGGAGGACTCCAGTGGGAGGACTCATGGAGTGGACTCCTGTGGGAGGACTCAGAGGGAGGACACCGGTGGGAGTACTCAGTTGGAGGACTCCTGTGGGAGGACTCCTGTGGTAGGACTCCTTTGGGCCATTCGGCCCCTCGAGCCTGTGCCCCACCATTTGATAAGATCATGGCTGATCTCCTGACCTGACTCTAATTACCCGCCCTCTCCCCATGTCCCCTAATCTCTCTGCTTTTTAAACGTCTGTCAGTCTCAGCCTTGAAGATGTTGAAGGACTGACATCTACAGCCTTCGGGGGGAGTGAATTCCATAAAGTCACTGCCCTCTGAGTGAAGAAATGTTTCCTCAACTCTGTTCTAAAAGGCTGACCCTTAAATTTCAGACTGTGACCCCTGGTTATAGATTCTCCCACCGGGGAAACAGACCCTCAGTGTCTACTTTATCAGCCCTTTAAGAATCTTATATGTTTCAATAAGATCCCCCCTAATTCTTCTATACTCTAGAGAATACAGCCCTCGTTTATTCAGCCTATCTCAGTGGGAGGACTCAGTGGGAGGACTCCTGTGGGAGGACTCCTGTGGGGGGACTCGGTGGGAGAACTTGGTGGGAGAGGACTCAGTGGGAGGACTCCTGTGGGAGGACTCCTGTGGGGGGACTCGGTGGGAGGACTCAGTGGAGAGGACTCAGTGGGAGGACTCGGTGTGAGGACTCGGTGGGAGGACTCGGTGTGTGGGAGGACTCGGTGGGTGGGAGGACTCGATGGGTGGGAGGACTCGATGGGAGAGGACTCGGTGGGGGAGGACTCAGTGTGAGGACTCGGTGGGAGGACTCGGTGGGAGGACTCGGTGGGAGAGGACTCAGTGGGAGAAGACTCAGTGGGAGGACTCGGTGTGAGGACTCAGTGGAGAGGACTCAGTGGGAGGACTCGGTGTGAGGACTCAGTGGAGAGGACTCGGTGGGAGGACTCAGTGGGAGAGGACTCAGTGGGAGAAGACTCAGTGGGAGAGGACTCAGTGGAGAGGACTCAGTGGGAGAGGACTCAGTGGGAGGACTCGGTGTGAGGACTCAGTGGAGAGGACTCGGTGGGAGGACTCGGTGGGAGGACTCGGTGGTTTAAAATTGTAATGTTGTTGCTGTTGCCGCGGCTGAGCTCCGTCTGTTCTCTTTATTTCGTTCCCGCCACTTGGCTACACGCGTGTTCTGTGCCGCACAATGCCACAGCGCCACTTTGACACGGTGGCCACCAGGTGTAACTGCAGCGAAAAAACAAACCTGAAAATAACTCACGAATGATGGGAGATACCCGAAAAGAAATATGCCCATGTCACTCCCATTTACAAGACCTTTACGGTCAGTTATAAATCCTACGTCTCTACGTCAATCTGTTATTGAGATCCTTCTTGAAGCGCAGACAGACATTGTCGTTTTAACAACAACAACAACAACAAGATTCCATTTATAAAGCGCCTTTCACGTCAGGAGGACGTCCCAAGGCGCTGCACAGTTGGGTCATGACCCGAGCAGGGGGGAAATGGTCAGGGTGAGGGGAGGGGAGGGAGCGAGGAGGGGGGAAATGGTCAGGGTGAGGGGAGGGATGGGAGGGAGCGAGGAGGGGGAAGAGAGTCGAGAGGGGAGCTGAAGGCTCGGCTTCTTAAAGCCGAAAATACTTAAAGGCTTTTAACAGTATAAAAGGAAGATATATAGTTATAGGCCGTGAGGTTACAGTGAGGAGACGGTGAGACATTAACCTGTTGAGGGTCAGGATAGTGAGAGTGTCTGAGAAGATGGTGTGGATGTTGGTGGGGCTCAGGATGGCTCTGTTACTGCCCAGCGCAGCCTGTAGCGGCTCCCAGTACACGTCCTTCACCATTGCCATCGTCCTGACATACACCCTCTCGCTGGCCACGATCTCCCGGGCAATCTGTGTCCTTCTGTCCAGTGCCTCCCCACCAGCCCATCCCTCCTGCCAACCACACAGGCAACACACAGCATTCAGCACACTACAGGCACAGGAGTTTGATCCACAGAGGGACTACAGGCAGAGAGGGACTACAGGCGGAGAGGGACTACAGGCAGAGAGGGACTACAGGCCGAGAGGGACTACAGGCAGAGAGGGACTACAGGCCGAGAGGGACTACAGGCGGAGAGGGACTACAGGCGGAGAGGGACTACAGGCGGGGAGGGACTACAGGCGGAGAGGGACTACAGGCGGAGTGGGATTACAGGAGGAGCAGGATTATAGGCAGAGAGGGATTATGGGTGAAGGATTACAGGCGGAGAGGGATTATGGGTGAAGGATTACAGGCGGAGAGGGATTATGGTTGAAGGATTACAGGCGGAGAGGGATTATGGTTGAAGGATTACAGGCGGAGAGGGATTAGCAGTGGAGAGATATAAGAAGCGAATGTGAGACAACAACAACAACAAGATTCCATTTATAGAGCGCCTTTCACGTCAGGAGGACGTCCCAAGGGACTGTACAGTTGGGTCAGAACCCGAGCATTGGGGAAATGGTCAGGGTGAGGGGAGGGGAGGGAGGGAGCGAGAGGGGGGAAATGGTCAGGGTGAGGGGAGGGGAGGGAGGGAGCGAGGAGGGGGGAAATGGTCAGGGTGAGGGGAGGGAGGGAGGGGGCGAGGAGGGGGGAAATGGTCAGGGTGAGGGGAGGGGAGGGAGGGAGCGAGGAGGGGGGAGATGGTCAGGGTGAGGGGGAGGGGAGGGAGGGAGCGAGGAGGGGGGAAATGGTCAGGGTGAGGGGAGGGGAGGGAGGGAGCGAGAAGGGGGGAAATGGTCAGGGTGAGGGGAGGGGAGGGAGGGAGTGAGGAGGGGGGAATGGTCAGGGTGAGGGGAGGGGAGGGAGGGAGCGAGGAGGGGGAAATGGTCAGGGGGAGGGGAGGGGAGGGAGGGAGCGAGGAGGGGGGAAATGGTCAGGGTGAGGGGAGGGGAGGGAGGGAGCGAGGAGGGGGGAAATGGTCAGGGTGAGGGGAGGGAGGGGAGGGAGGGAGCGAGGAGGGGGGAAATGGTCAGGGTGAGGGGAGGGGAGGGAGGGAGGGAGGGGAGGGAGGGAGCGAGGAGAGGGGAAATGGTCAGGGTGAGGGGAGGGAGGGAGCGAGGAGGGGGAAATGGTCAGGGTGAGGGGAGGGGAGGGAGGGGAGGGAGGGAGGGAGCGAGGAGGGGGAAATGGTCAGGGGGAGGGGAGGGGAGGGAGGGAGCGAGGAGGGGGGAAATGGTCAGGGTGAGGGGAGGGGAGGGAGGGAGCGAGGAGGGGGGAAATGGTCAGGGTGAGGGGAGGGGAGGGAGGGAGCGAGGAGGGGGGAAATGGTCAGGGTGAGGGGAGGGGAGGGAGGGGAGGGAGGGAGCGAGGAGGGGGGAAATGGTCAGGGTGAGGGGAGGGAGGGAGGGAGCGAGGAGGGGGGAAATGGTCAGGGTGAGGGGAGGGGAGGGAGGGGAGGGAGGGAGGGAGCGAGGAGGGGGTAGAGAGTCGACAGTCAAAAAGGGATGACAATCAGAGAGAGATTGTAACTGTCGACATAACAGGAAGAGGGATGAGGTGCACACCCTCTCCTCGGGCGGCAGCCTCGGGGTTCACCTGTCCACACAGAGAGGGAAACCTCATGTCTGCAGCTCCGACAAACTTCGGGTCCTCATCCAGACTCAATGCCTCCATCACCAGCCGCCCTGTGGGGACCACAGCGACACAGGGTCAATATACAGCATTAATACTCACACCCTGAGAATCCACCGTGTTAATACTAGTACTCACACAGCACCCTGTTAATACTCACACACATACACACACACAGCACCCTGTTAATACTCACACACATACACACACACAGCACCCTGTTAATACTCACACACATACACACACACAGCACCCTGTTAATACTCACACACACACAGCACCCTGTTAATACTCACACACATACACACACAGCATCGTGTTAATACTCACACACATACACACACACAGCACCCTGTTAATACTCACACACATACACACACACAGCACCGTGTTAATACTCACACACATACACACACACAGCACCCTGTTAATACTCACACACATACACACACAGCATCGTGTTAATACTCACACACATACACACACACAGCATCGTGTTAATACTCACACACATACACACACACAGCACCGTGTTAATACTCACACACATACACACACACAGCAACCTGTTAATACTCACACACATACACTCACACAGCAACCTGTTAATACTCACACACATACACACACACAGCACCGTGTTAATACTCACACACATACACACACACAGCACCGTGTTAATACTCACACACATACACACACACAGCACCCTGTTAATACTCACACACATACACACACACAGCACCGTGTTAATACTCACACACATACACACACACAGCACCGTGTTAATACTCACACACATACACACACACAGCACCCTGTTAATACTCACACACACACAGCACCGTGTTAATACTCACACACATAAACACACACAGCACCCTGTTAATACTCACACATATACACACACACAGCACTGTGTTAATACTCACACATACACACACACAGCACCGTGTTAATACTCACACACATAAACACACACAGCACCCTGTTAATACTCACACATATACACACACACAGCACTGTGTTAATACTCACACATATACACACACACAGCACTGTGTTAATACTCACACATACACACACACAGCATCGTGTTAATACTCACACACATACACACACACAGCACCCTGTTAATACTCACACACAAACACACACACAGCACCATGTTAATACTCACACACAAACACACACACAGCACCCTGTTAATACTCACACATATACACACACACAGCACTGTGTTAATACTCACACATACACACACAGCACCGTGTTAATACTCACACACATACACACAGCACCGTGTTAATACTCACACGCATACACACACACAGCAACCTGTTAATACTCACACACATAAACACACACAGCACCCTGTTAATACTCACACATATACACACACACAGCACCCTGTTAATACTCACACATATACACACACACAGCACCGTGTTAATACTCACACGCACAGTGCCTGTTAATATTCTCACACGCACAGCATTGTTAATTCACACATAGCATTGTCAATACTCATACACATACATAGTGTCCTGTTAATACTCGCGCATACATCTCTATTAATACTCTCACACACATTTCTGTTAATACTCTCACTAATAACTGGAGTAATATTAACACTGTCTCCCACGGAGCATTCTCTATTAACAATAACCCACTGATCTCTATGTTAATGCCAAGTGATAGTTTGTCCTCACCGGCCAGGCGTGGCCGCAGTTCTCTGCGGATTTGGTTGAGGTAGGGGGCAGCGAGGACACGGACATCTCTCAGCACCTCCTCCAGCGTCTGTGCCGCCCGACTCCACACCTCCAGCTCCGGCTCCAGGAAGTAGAGGCGCCCGGGAGAGCTCCCCTCCCCCGGACACAGCCACTCGCTCAGGACTGGGGGCAAGAGACACGAGACATGGTCCCCGCAGATCAGATCCTCTCCCACACCAGCCTCCCCAAGCCCACCACACACTCCCCCTCCCCATAATAATAATAATCCTTGCATTTGACATAGCGTCTCATCAAGTCATTGAGACGTCTCAAAGCCCTTCACAGAAAATACTGTAAAATGAATTGACTGTATATTTTGTTGGCGAAATGTGACAGAAAATTGTGAACAGAAACACAAACAGTTATGGATTAAGAGACCAATTTTTTAGGGAGAGGGATTAATACCCTCGGAAAGCGATTCACCCATCGACTAACAACTGGGTTCCTACTTACTGTTGGGTAAACAGAGATGTGTGGCGTTGCCTAAGGTTTTGCGCTGCCTGGGAATGAAGCGCAGGTCCCTCACTTGCGAGGCGAGTGCACTAACCAATACACTACAGGACTCCAAATAATTTAGCTGTGGCGAGAGTTGTCACACTGAACAAGTTATAACCTTTCACCATATCGGCTATGAGCCCCACCTCACTCCCACAGACACTCACTGTGCTGGTAAGAGCCGGTTGCTGTCCCTGTAGGCGCGTTCTGCACCAGGCCGGTCAAAGAGGACAGTGCGGACAGAAGCTCCATCCCGGCCTCTGGAAAACAGTCCATCAATCATTCCAACAATCCATTTCCCCTGGGAACATGATGGGAATATTCCCAGGGCCAGGGGAACTCCCTCAAGCCTGGCAAAGTCGCGGGAATCCTCGCCTTGGTAACATCCCAGAAATCTCATCACCCCAGATCCCAGGATTCCCTTCATCCCAGATCCCGGGATCTCTGTCTCATTGGGAAGACACACCTGAGGCCGCCAGAGGAACAAAGATGTCAACACGGCCTCCAGCCTCCACACAGCCACCCAGCTTCTCCCAGAATTCCCGGATCTCTGGCTCTGGAAGGTTCCTTGCACTGACTTTGCAACCTGGAAACCGCAAGGGGAGAAACCTCTGATCACGGCCCTCACATCCTGAATCGAAGCAGGAATAATCAGTCCCTACACTTTACAGTATATTCTGTGATGCGCTTTGAGACGGATTTGGAAACCCATCGCTGTGCTTAAAAGTCTCCAAACCAAACTGAGAATTCCATGTATTCCATGTATCCCACCTACACATGGAAATCCCAGAGATAGATTGTTGGAATAGAATGCGCTCTCTCTTCCTGGAGGGACACATCCTGCTTACCGAATTCCAGAGACTATTAGGCGTAGGTTGGCAAGAGCCAAGGCTGAAGGACTTCAGAGTGTGGGTTGAGGTAACTGCTGGAGTCTAACCAGATAAAGCCGTGTAGCTTGCCATTGATATATATCGCTGTCTCGCAAGCTTTGCTGCTGCTTGTCCAGCAAGGACCACCCTACCTGTTAGGCCTTATCAACAACAACAACAAATTAGATGTTGATAGTGCCTTTCAAGTCAGGAGGCGGGACTGTGCTGCCATCAACAGTGCCCTTGAACACTGTGGACCCTCCAGGCTCAGGAACCGAAGTGGAGACCGTCACAGAGGACTCTCTGGATTCCAACATTCCGTTGCCAAACATGTCACCTTGACGCCAGTTCAGCTCTGAGGAGACACTGCTTCCCTCCCCTCAAGGAGGATAGTCACTAGTTGGTTGTTTGACAACTGCCAATCGACTAACAACCGGTTTCCTACTTACTGCTCGGGAGGCAGAGGCGAGTAGAGTCAGGAAACGTGCTTAAAATTTCCCTCTGCCCAGGAATCAAACCCAGGTCCTCTCGCTTGCGAGGCGCGAGCTCCAACGACTATACTGAAGGAGTCCACATCAATTGGCTTTTCCTGACTGTTAGTTACGTACCTCGGAGCAGGCAGAGCTGGGTGGGGTCTCCCTCGGTGAGGATGGCGATGGTCTGGGCAGTGTGGCCCTGCAGGGCTCGCTCCAAACACAGCAGCACAGCCGTCAGCGTACAGCTGTCCTCATACACCACAGGTACCACACCTGGTCTCACACACTCCAGCACTGTCTGAGAGGAGACACACACACACACTCCAGCACTGTCTGAGAGGAGACACACACACACTCCAGCACTGTCTGAGAGGAGACACACACACACACACACACACTAACACATGTGCCCCACATACCCCACACCCACCCACGCACACACACTAATACGCACACAGTCCCAGTGTGTGATCTGATGAAACGGTACCTCCCAGGCTGGTATCCGGGATGATATCAGGACCAGACGGGGATGTGGGGAGCTGAGCAGTGTTGCCGTGGTGACGGTGTGGGGGGGCAGATGGTAAGGGCTCCCCCCACACAGGTTCTTTCTGATATCAATAAACACAGGACACCAGTCAAACCCTCACTGAGCCCATAATTACTGACACATCAACACCGACCAGTAATAATGAGATTGAATAATAACAATATTCCTTACAGTTGATATCCCCATCCTCGCCTGGTTCCACTGGCTCCCCAACACTCAGAGGATAACCTTCAAGTTCCTGGTCCTCACCTTCAAAGTCCTCTACGGCTTTGCTCCCACCTAACTTTGTGACCTCGCGCCCGACCAACCTGTCCACTCACTCCACTCAGCCGACTCTGGCCTGCTTCACGTCCCCCATCTTACCCATCCCACCATTGCCAGGCAAGCCTTCAACTGCTCTGCTCCCACCCTCTGGAACTCCATCCCACAGTCCCTCGGCCTCGCCCCCTCCCTTGCCTTCTTCAAGACCCTCCTCTTCGACCGTGCCTTCGGTCACCCTCCGCCCCTACCCTCCCCACCTTCCACCCCTCCTGATCCCAACCCCCAGCTCGGGTACAGATCCCTAAATGTCCAGCGTCTTGGGATGTCCTCCTGACATGAAAAACACTATACAAATGTGATTTGTGATTTTTGTTATCATGTCATTGAAAAGCTTTTTTGGAGCGATTATTACCCCTGGAAAAAGATCCACCAATTAACTAAGAACCAGATTCCTACTTACTGTTAGATAAACAGAGGAGTGCGAAGTAAGGAAACTTTTCTAAGGTTTCATCCTGCCTGGGAATTGAACCCGGGTCCTCTCGCTTGCGAGGTGAGTGCTGCTCTAACCACTATGCAACAGGACCATAATAATAAAAAAANTGAGACAGTGAAAGCAGATAGTGTCAGGTCATTCAAATACGAATTTGATGGATTTCTTGCTCTATCCAATAAGCTACAGGACTCCACCATCTCCCAATCCAACCCCTAACCTCACAACCAGGTTATAAGCAAAGGCTGTTGCTGGTATCACTTACCTGGTAAGCAGAGCTTTCAGGGGAGTCAGTTGAGGGTTTACGGGGGGTGAAGATTGATCCTGGATGGAGAGCAGCTGGGAGAGGGTCACATCAGAGAGGTCTTTCCCCTGTGAGGAAACCACACAAAACAAATACAGCTTAAATATAATCCAGTTCCAAGCACTTCCAAGCTAGTCCACGTCGGAGGTTAGACGCCACACCAGCCCCCACCCTCCTATTCCCCTATTAATAAAAATAATCCTTGCACTTGATGCAGCACCTTATCATGTCTTCGAAGCGTATCAAAACACTTCACAGAACGTACTGTAAAGTGAATCGACTGTACATTTTCAGGGAGAAATACGGCAGCCAATTGCCCAAAGTCATTGAGTGACCACATTTTCTTATAAGGAATTATTACCCCAGGAAAGCAAACCGCCAATGGACAAACAACCGGGTTCCTCCTGACTGCTTGGTAATCAGAGGCGCGTGGAGTAAGCAAACTTGCCTACGGTTTTGTTCTGCCCGGGAATCAATCCCAGGTCCTCTGGCTTACCTTTGGTGTGAGTGTTGATGTGCTCTCGCGGCTCTGGGCCAGGCTGGTCATGGTGTCTGTGGTCTGATCTTTGGCACGGAGCAGACCAGGTGGCCAACTGGCGGACACCCAGGGCGGCCGTGTCTGCAGAGCTTTCCCTGAACACAGACACACACACGTGAGAAGGTGGGAGAGGAACATGCGCTTCACAAAGATAATAATAGTTGCCACACTTCAGAGTCTCTAAACTATTAAGAGTCCTGTGTGCAGTCAGACCCCGGTAGAATGTTCCAGAGTATTGTGTGGGCCCGTTCGCACCATGAACCCCTCCCACCTGCAGCCCATTTCCAGCTTCCTGTGCACTCAGGATGCACTAAGACTCACTCACTCGCTCTCTCTCTCTCTCTCTGGAGGGACGCACCCTGGTCACCAGGTTCCAGAGAGAGTATCACATAGGAACATAGGAACAGGAGGAGGCCATTCAGCCCCTCGAGCCTGCTCCGCCATTCTGCTTATCATGGCTGATCTGTATCTCAGCTCTATTCACACGCCTTTGCCCCATATTGCCTTGATACCTTGACTTGATAAATATTCAGATTACTCACAGGTTGGCGAGGGCTAAGGCTTGGGTGTTGGGTTGGGGGAACCCGAGGGTGTACGTTCAGGCGGGTGGGGTGCGGGGGAGATAATTACTGGTGTTTCACCAGCTGAAGCCGCAGAGCTTGCCATTGAGAGCATTGTCTCGGGGGGGGCAGCCAAGACTTAGTTAGGGCCCCGTACAGCTCAGCCGCCTCCTCACGAGGCACGTAATCCAGGCCACAGACACACGCCACGTAATGTCTCTTCCACGCCCCCTGCTCACTCTCTGGGGGATCATAGGGCAGGAACCAGCCTCGCAACACACACTTAGGCTTCCACAGGCTGTCCTGGGGGGAGAGAGAGAGAGGGTCAGTGATCAGTGAGGATGCTGCTCACCAAGCCAGTACATAGGGAAAGAGAGTCGGAGGAACAGAGAGAGGGAGGGATGGAGGGAGAGAGGGATGCAGGGAGAGAGAGGGGAGAGAGAGAGAGAGAGGGGGGGAGAGAGAGGGAGGAAGAGAGGGAGAGAAAGGGAGAAGAGGACAGAGAGAGAGAAGACAGGGTAAGGGTCAGTGATTAGTGAGCCACCAAGCCAATACACCTCGAGAGAGAGATAGCCAGAGGAACATGGAGGGAGGAAGGAGGGCAGGAGAGAGGGATAGAGAGCGTGAGGATCAGTCTTCAGTGAGGATCCTACTAATCCCCCCAATGCTCGGGTCCTGACCCAACTGTCCAGCGCGTTGGGACGTCCTCCCGACGTGAAAGGCGCTCTATAAATGGAATCTTGTTGTTGTTGTAATCAAACCAGTACACAGGGAGAGAGAGATTTGGAGGATTTTTTTCGGACAGCCAAGCGCTCCCAGCGGGACATTCCATATCCTGTTTATCCTGTGTGAAGAATATTCTGCTGACCTCCCCTCGTGCTCGTTTTTTTGACGTTCTTTGTGGAAGTGCTTTTTGCCCACAAAAGACCCAGTCACTACAGGTTACAGTATATTCTGTGAAGCGCTTTGAGATGTCTCAAAGACGCGATAAGGCGCTGTATGAAATGCAAGGATTATTGCTGTTAAGTGTAAGTTGTATTGTGTTGTATCTGAAGGTGAGTTGATGGATGGAGCGGAAGCAGTGACCTGCTCGGTCAGGCTCCTCCAGTGCCAGCTGACCCTGGCCGCAGTGCTCAGCTCCCGGGGACTCAGCCACCACAGCACCCGCAGCGACAGGCAACGTGGCAACACAGCAGTGAAATCCCCCGCCAGCACCGGCACTGTCTCTGCCAACCGGGCACGGGCAAACCTGCCGAGACACAACACGGTGAACAAACAAACAAACAAACACACTCAGGCACACACGTGTGCACTCGTGCCACAACAACACCAACAACGTTACATTTCTAAAGCGCCTTTCACGTTGGGAGGACGTCCCAAGACACTGGACAGTCAGGGGTCAGGGCCCGAGCGTGGGAGGCAGGACTGGGATGAGGGAGGGCAGAGAGGGTCGGAGGGCGGCTGAAGGCACGGACAAAAAGGAGGGTGTGGAGTCGTGCCTTGAAGGAGGCAAGAAAGGGAGCAACGCGAAGGGATTGTGGGATGGAGTTCCAAAGAGCGGAGGCAGAGACGCTGAAAGCCCGGCTGCTGATGGTAGGGGGAAACTCATGCACACATTCATTCACTCCATATACTCTTATTCAATGACTCAGACCCTCATGTACACATTCGCTTTGTACACACTCACACACGCACTCTCAAGCATGCACGCACACATCACTCACACACCCACACACTCATGTGTGCATGCTCTCACTCACTCATTCACTCACTCACTCACTCACTCACTCACTCACTCACTCACTCACTCACTCACTCTCTCACTCACATACACTGGCTCACACTTTCTCATTCACTCACTCACTCACTCACTCACTCACTCACTCTCTCACTCACTCACTCTCTCACTCTCTCACTCACTCACTCACTCACTCTCTCACTCACATACACTGGCTCACACTTTCTCATTCACTCACTCACGCACACATATATTCATTTTTATATAAATATATATATACATATGGCCAAACATCACACACTCACTCTCACAGAATCAGCACAACTACCTGACATTTGCATAAATAACAATAATTATCTTTACATTTGATGTTTGGAGCATAAAAGATCCGAATGCCTCAAACTCCCGGATTGTTAAGTGCTTTGAGACATCTTCCTGACGTGAAAGGTGCTGTGCAAATGTGAATTGTGTTGTATTGAACCTGCGGTGAGAGGGCAGATGGAGAGGGAGGGAGGGAGAGAGGGCAGAAGGAGAGGGAGGGAGGGAGGGAGAGAGGGCTGAAGGAGAGTGAGGGAGGGAGGGGAGAGAGGGCTGAAGGAGAGTGAGGGAGGGAGGGAGAGAGGGCTGAAGGAGAGTGAGGGAGGGAGGGAGAGAGGGCTGAAGGAGAGTGAGGGAGGGAGGGAGAGAGGGCTGAAGGAGAGTGAGGGAGGGAGGGAGACAGGGCTGAAGGAGAGGGAGGGAGGGAGGGAGAGAGGGCTGAAGGAGAGGGAGGCAGGTGAAGGCGGTTGTGTTGCTTGTTACAAAGGGAGCTCCTGTCAGCACTTACTGGAGCTGTGACTTGCTGCAGTGATGAAGGATGGTCTGTAGGAATCGCCGTCTCTGCTTGTCCGTCCAGAGGTCAAACCAGTGACCCACGAGGGTCATTCTCTCCTCAAACAGCTACATTGAGGAGCTTGTGTTACATCAACACACCAACAACAGCAGCAACTTGCATTTACACAGCGCCATTCATGCAGTATAGTGTCTTGAAGAACTGCACAGTGGTGGGGTCAGACACCGAGCGAGGGGGGGAGGGGAGGTGACCATAGACGTGGTGGAGGATGTAGATCTTCAGGTGGGGTTTAAAGATGGATTTGTTTGGTCAGACGAGTGTCTGACACATACGGAAACCCATCACCAGGCTTAAGAGAATCCAAACCAAACGGAGGATTCCACGCTTCCCACCTACACTTGGAAATCCCAGAGATAGATTGTTGCAGTGGAATGCGCACTCTCTCCCAGGAGGGATGCATCCCGTTTACCTAATTCCAGGGAGTATTAGGCGCAGGTTTCCTGGAGCCGAGGCTTAGGGACCCCAGAGTATGCATTTGGGGTAACAGCTGGAGTCTCACCAGCTAAAAACACAGCGTGCCATCGAGAGCGCTGTCTGTCAAACTTTCCTGCTGGTTGTCCAGCTGGAACTGCCCTACCCATTAGGCCTTGGCTTGCAGGGTTAACAGGAGCTGAGTGTGATGATCTCTGCCCCAGGGACTGGTCTGTTCCAGGTCCTGCCGATGATCCAGGGTGGCTGTGCTATCAGCAGGAGGGATAAAGAGAGGGCAAGGTGGAGGGTAAAAGCAGGGAGTTCCAGAGGGGAGCAAGCATTGGATTGAGCTGCTTTACCTGCTGGTTGGCAGTCCTATTAACCACCGGTGTCCACGCGCTGAATCTTGTTTGCCGGGTAATATCTGAGTTGCCGGTCGCTGGGAGATATTTCCCCCCGGAATGCTGAGGCCAGATACAGGTGTCTGTGCGGTGTGGGCCAAGTGCCAGGCTGGTGGGGTTCAGCGTTCCCACAAGACACAGTCTGGGGGTCACCAAGCCCTCCATCCCAACACACACAGGCCAACAGGAATCTGTCAGAAAGGCTGAGAGCCACAGTCACAGGCAGCACCTACACACGACAACAGCAATAATTATTCTGGAAAGTGCTTTGCGACGTCCTGTATCTCAGTGGTCACAGCACTCACTTCGCAAGTGAGAGGAACGGCGTTTAATTCCTGCACAGGATGAAACATTGGGAAAATGTCCGTATTCCTTGCAAGTCAGAGGCCTGGGTCTGATTCCTGGCAGGGCGAAACGTTGAGCAAGTTTCCTTGCTCCATACACCTCTGTTTAACGAGCAGTGAGTAGGAACCCGGTTGTTAGTCAATTGGCTGATGACTTTTGCGAAGATAATAATTCCTTTAAAAATAATCCATGACTATTTGTGCGCAATTGGCTGCCGCTTTGCTCCCACAAAATATACAGTCAATTCACTATAGAGTACATTCTGTGAAGTACTTTGAGACGACTCAATGACCTCCTACCTCGACCACGCTATCCTCCTCCACCGCTTGTCCTCCCACCTAAACCTTCAAGGCCCTGTCCTTGAGTGGTTTAGGTCGTACCTCTCCCACCGTCTTCACTTTGTCTCCACGAATGGTTTTTCCTCCACCCCCCGCACTGTCTCGTGCGGTGTCCCTCAAGGCTCTGTCCTCGGTCCCCTCCTCTTCACCCTCTATATGCTCCCCCTTCTTGACATCATCCGCAGACATGGGGTTAACTTCCACATGTATGCGGATGACACCCAACTCTACCTTTCCTCCTCTACCCTCAACTCCACGACCCCCGATGTCCTGACAGCTGTCTGTCCGACATCGAGTCCTGGACAAGAGACAACTTTCTTCAGCTCAACGTGCGCCAAACTGAGGCCCTCCTGATTGGCTCACGTCAGCGCCTCTGCACCTCAGGCGCTGACAGCATCAGCATCAAAGGCCGCACTCTCCAACTCTCAAAGCCATCAGGAACCTCGGGGTTCCCCTCGACCCTGAGCTGTCCTTTCTCCCTTATATCCACACCACAACTGGCACCGCCTTCCATCACCTCCGGAACATCGCCAGACTACGGCACTACCTCACCCCTCACGCGGCTGAAACTCTGTTCCACGCCTTTATCACCTCAAGGCTGGACTATGGGAACTCTCTCCTCGCCGGCCTTCCCGCCACCTCCCTCCACAAGCTGCAGGTCATTCAGAACTCTGCAGCTCGTGTACTGTCCCGCACCAGGCTTCGGGACCACATCACTCCCACCCTCGCTCGCCTCCACTGGCTCCCCATCCCCCAGAGGATCGATTTCAAGATCCTCATCCTTACCTACAAGGCCATTCACGGCCTTGCTCCCTCCTACCTCTCCGACCTACTATCTCCCTACCTACCTGCCCGTACCCTCCGTTCCTCTGGCTCCGGTCTGCTCCACATCCCCCGCCCCAACCGCCCTACCATCGGTGGCCGGGCCTTCAGCCTCTCAGCCCCGAGGCTCTGGAACTCCATCCCCCAGTGCCTTCGCCGCTTCCTCCCTTTCCTCCTTCAAGGCCGGTCTCAAAACCTTTCTCTTTGACCGTGCCTTCAGCTCCAGGGAGGGAGGGAGAGAGGGCTGAAGGAGAGTGAGGGAGGGAGGGAGACAGGGCTGAAGGAGAGGGAGGGAGGGAGAGGGGGCTGAAGGACAGGGAGGGAGGGAGAGAGGGCTGAAGGAGAGTGAGGGAGGGAGGGAGACAGGGCTGAAGGAGAGGGAGGGAGGGAGAGAGGGCTGAAGGAGAGGGAGGCAGGTGAAGGCGGTTGTGTTGCTTGTTACAAAGGGAGCTCCTGTCAGCACTTACTGGAGCTGTGACTTGCTGCAGTGATGAAGGATGGTCTGTAGGAATCGCCGTCTCTGCTTGTCCGTCCAGAGGTCAAACCAGTGACCCACGAGGGTCATTCTCTCCTCAAACAGCTACATTGAGGAGCTTGTGTTACATCAACACACCAACAACAGCAGCAACTTGCATTTACACAGCGCCATTCATGCAGTATAGTGTCTTGAAGAACTGCACAGTGGTGGGGTCAGACACCGAGCGAGGGGGGGAGGGGAGGTGACCATAGACGTGGTGGAGGATGTAGATCTTCAGGTGGGGTTTAAAGATGGATTTGTTTGGTCAGACGAGTGTCTGACACATACGGAAACCCATCACCAGGCTTAAGAGAATCCAAACCAAACGGAGGATTCCACGCTTCCCACCTACACTTGGAAATCCCAGAGATAGATTGTTGCAGTGGAATGCGCACTCTCTCCCAGGAGGGATGCATCCCGTTTACCTAATTCCAGGGAGTATTAGGCGCAGGTTTCCTGGAGCCGAGGCTTAGGGACCCCAGAGTATGCATTTGGGGTAACAGCTGGAGTCTCACCAGCTAAAAACACAGCGTGCCATCGAGAGCGCTGTCTGTCAAACTTTCCTGCTGGTTGTCCAGCTGGAACTGCCCTACCCATTAGGCCTTGGCTTGCAGGGTTAACAGGAGCTGAGTGTGATGATCTCTGCCCCAGGGACTGGTCTGTTCCAGGTCCTGCCGATGATCCAGGGTGGCTGTGCTATCAGCAGGAGGGATAAAGAGAGGGCAAGGTGGAGGGTAAAAGCAGGGAGTTCCAGAGGGGAGCAAGCATTGGATTGAGCTGCTTTACCTGCTGGTTGGCAGTCCTATTAACCACCGGTGTCCACGCGCTGAATCTTGTTTGCCGGGTAATATCTGAGTTGCCGGTCGCTGGGAGATATTTCCCCCCAGAATGCTGAGGCCAGATACAGGTGTCTGTGCGGTGTGGGCCAAGTGCCAGGCTGGTGGGGTTCAGCGTTCCCACAAGACACAGTCTGGGGGTCACCAAGCCCTCCATCCCAACACACACAGGCCAACAGGAATCTGTCAGAAAGGCTGAGAGCCACAGTCACAGGCAGCACCTACACACGACAACAGCAATAATTATTCTGGAAAGTGCTTTGCGACGTCCTGTATCTCAGTGGTCACAGCACTCACTTCGCAAGTGAGAGGAACGGCGTTTAATTCCTGCACAGGATGAAACATTGGGAAAATGTCCGTATTCCTTGCAAGTCAGAGGCCTGGGTCTGATTCCTGGCAGGGCGAAACGTTGAGCAAGTTTCCTTGCTCCATACACCTCTGTTTAACGAGCAGTGAGTAGGAACCCGGTTGTTAGTCAATTGGCTGATGACTTTTGCGAAGATAATAATTCCTTTAAAAATAATCCATGACTATTTGTGCGCAATTGGCTGCCGCTTTGCTCCCACAAAATATACAGTCAATTCACTATAGAGTACATTCTGTGAAGTACTTTGAGACGACTCAATGACCTCCTACCTCGACCACGCTATCCTCCTCCACCGCTTGTCCTCCCACCTCAACCTTCAAGGCACTGTCCTTGAATGGTTTAGCTCTTACCTTTCCCACCGTCTTCACTTCGTCTCAACGAATGGCTTCTCCTCCACCCCCCGTACTGTCTCATGTGGTGTCCCTCAGGGCTCTGTCCTCGGTCCCCTCCTTTTCACCCTCTACATGCTCCCCCTCGTGACATCATCCGCAAACATGGGGTTAACTTCCACATGTATGCGGATGACACCCAACTCTACCTTTCCTCCTCTACTCTCAACTCCACGACCACCGATGTCCTGACAGCTGCCTGTCCGACATCGAGTCCTGGACGAGAGACAACTTTCTTCAGCTCAACGTGCGAAAAACGAGGCCCTCCTGATTGGCTCACGTCAGCGCCTCCGCACCTCAGGCGCTGACAGCATCAGCATCCAAGGCTGCACTCTCCACCTCTCAAAGCCAGTCAGGAACCTCGGCGTTTTGTTCGACCCTGAGCTGTCCTTTCTCCCTCACATCCGCACCACAACTGGCACCGCCTTCCATCACCTCCGGAACATCGCCAGATTACGGCACTACCTCACCCCTCACGCTGCTGAAACCCTGGTTCACGCCTTTGTCACCTCAAGGCTGGACTATGGGAACTCTCTCCTCGCCGGCCTTCCCGCCACCTCCCTCCACAAGCTGCAGGTCATTCAGAACTCTGCAGCTCGTGTACTGTCCCGCACCAGGCTTCGGGACCACATCACTCCCACCCTCGCTCGCCTCCACTGGCTCCCCATCCCCCAGAGGATTGATTTCAAGATCCTCATCCTCACCTACAAGGCCATTCACGGCCTTGCTCCCTCCTACCTCTCCAACCTACTATCCCCCTACCTACCTGCCCGTACCCTCCGTTCCTCTGGCTCCGGTCTGCTCCACGTCCCCCGCCCCAACCGCCCGTACCATCGGTGGTCGGGCCTTCAGCCTCTCAGCCCCGAGGCTCTGGAACTCCATCCCCCAGTGCCTTCGCCTTGCTTCCTCCCTTTCCTCCTTCAAGGCCGGTCTCAAAACCTTTCTCTTTGACCGTGCCTTCAGCTCCCCTCTCGACTCTCTTCCCCCTCCTCGCTCCCTCTCTTCCCTCCCCTCACCCTGACCATTTCCCCCCAATGCTCGGGTCCCGACCCAACTGTCCATCGCCTTGGGACGTCCTCCCGACGTGAAAGGCGCTCTATAAATGGAATCCTGTTGTTGTTGTTGTTGTTGTGATAAGATGCTATAACAAATGCAATTGCTTATTATTAATAAAAGCGTTTCCGGGAAGCTGAGAAAATCCTGGGAGAAATGTGCCCAGTGAGAGGGTTTACATGAAACATGGCCTGAGTGGATAGACCTTACCTGCAGTGTCCCTGCTTTGAGCCTTGTCTCTGTTTAGTGCCCTGTATATAAATCCCATCTCCCAGGTAACCACAGACGCCAATGTAACCCGGAAGTTTCCCTTTAACACTAACATCACAACTTACACACCAACTTCCTGACTCTCCTCCCCCACAAGTCTGAGCTTGCACTGCTATAGGTCCTGTAGCATGAAAAGTGCTTCATAGCGACCGCTGGGATGTGGAGTTTGTTTGTAGGCAATTGATTCGCGTACATTAAGCGCTCCGGGACGCTATCCCGCGTGAAGTGCGCTATATAAATGCAAGTTGTTGTGTATTTACACGGCACCCTTCAGTGTCTGAGAGGTGGTTGAGTCCATCCTCCTTTCCTCCTTTCATCGCCTCCACACCTCAGAATCACCATTCATGGAGGGGCTTGAGCCACCAGGATGATGAGGGAATGGAGGGCTATGAGGAGCCACTCAGTAAATTGGGCATTTCACACTGGAAAAGAGAAGATTGAGAGGCCACATATTGCTGTCTTTAACATTCTAAAGGGGCAAATCAATATAGACCATTGGAGGCTGTTTCACTTTGTCCAGAATAGTAGAACCAGACGACATGGCCTGCGATTGAAGGGGATAAATTCAGAACAAATCTACACAAACAGTATTTCAGTGAGCGAATAGTGAACCTGTGGAACAGGCTCCCCAGGGAGACGGTTGAAGCAGAAAGTGTTGATTCTTTCAAACACAGGTTAGATATAAACAAAATGCAAAATCCTGCAGATGCTGGAAATCTGAAAACAAAAACAGAAGGTAACTGGGAACACTCAGCACCTGACGAAGGGTCATGGACCCAAAATGGTGACTCACGGATTAGATTTTGTTTTCTTTTAGGAAATAACATTATGGGATATACTACATATGGAGTTTGGGATAGATGTGCATGCGACCGCCAGGGAGGTCAAAGGTGAACTAGATGGATCTTGTTTTTTTTCGTCCAGCATTCCTTATGTTCTTATAAATGCACACTCCACCTCACTGAGTCAGTCAGGAACCTTGGGGTCTTGTTTCACCCTCAAGTGTCCTTTAAACCTCACATCCATGCCATGACTCGCTCTGCCTTCCCCCACCTCTGTAACATTGCCCGGCTCCACCACTGCCTCACCCCTCAGGCCACAGAAACCCTCATCTACGCTTTCATCTTGTCCAGGTTTGACTGCACTAACTCCCTGTTTGTTGGCCTTCCCAACTCTTCCCCCCACAAGCTGCAGATCATCCAGAACTCTGCAGCTCATGTCCTCTCCCACACCAGACTCCGTGACCCTATCACACCTTTCTGTATAAGAGTGAGTCTGTCAGTCTATCTGAGAGTGAGTCTGTCTGTCTGTCTGTCTGTCTGAGAGTAAGTCTGTCAGTCTGTCTGAGAGTGAGTCTGTCTGTCTGTCTGAGAGCAAGTCTATCTGTCTGTCTGTCTGTCTGTCTGAGAGTCAGTCTGTCAGTCTGTCTGTCTGTCTATCTGTCTGAGTGACTGTCTGAGTGTGACTGTGTCTGTCTGTGTATGAGAAACAGCCAATGTTAAGAGGGTAAAGGCAATGTAGAATACTGAGCAGTTGAGTGTCGACATCATTGAGTAGTGTTTTGGTTGTAGCTACTACACCAAGTGGAGCTGTCAAGGTACAGAGCAAAAGCCAACAGCGCTGTGAGGTACAGAGCTGCAGTGAGCAGGTCTCAACACTCAAACCATGGAACCAGCCACTAGTCTCTCCCCGTGTCAGCCACGTAATAGTCACCAAACCTGAGCAGCATCGGTCGGGGAGTGTGGGGGATGTGGAAAAATCAAGCTGAAAACCATGGAGTCGAATGACCCCAGGATGTGCATTCACCAACTTGCAAAGAAAAGGCGATACCCAACACCAACTGCCATAACAAAAGGCATAACTGGTTCAAACACAATGAACTTCCTGAAACTGGACTCAGGACACTTCGAGTCCAGGGCAGAAAAAACAAGTCCTTATATGGTCAATGAACGACTCAAAAATAATCAGCGGAGGATGGGAAAGAAAAAGGGGTTAGAAAAGCTTGAGTGAGCAGCGGCACGAGAGAAATCATGGCTGTGGCAGAGGAGTGAGCTGCATAAGCTAAGAACTGAAAGCAACATCGACAAGTAGTCACTCCAGGTCTCCCAGGGTAAAACTCTTGATTGAACTGAGCCCTGAATCATCTTCTGCAGGTTATGTGTTTTATAACTCTTGTAATCGTCGTTTTCATATCATAGAATCATAGAATTATACCACACAGAAAGAGGCCATTCGGCCCATTGTGCCTGTGCCGGGTCTTTGAAAAGAGCTTCCAAATCAATCCCACTCCCCTGCGCTCTCCCCGTAGCCTTGCAAATTTGTCCTCCCCAAATAATTACCTACTTCTCTCATGATGGTGGTTATTGAATTAGTTTCCACCACCCCTTCAGAGAATGGATTCTACATCCGAACAACTCGTATGAAAACATTTCTCCTCACCTCCCTTTGTTTAGGAACATAGGAATTAGGAGCAGGAGTAGGCCATTTGGCCCCTCGAGCCTGCCCCGCCATTCAGTAACATCATGGCTGATCTTCTATCCTAACTCCATCTGCCCGCCTTATCCCGATATCCCTTAATCCCTCTATCCTTCAGAAATCTTTATCCTTTAGAAATGAGAAGACATGAAAAGCTCTATATCAAATGCAAGGATAATTATTATTTATTATTAATAAGTCTCCTCTTAACTTTCTCTGCTCCAAGAAGGATAATCCCAGCTTCTCGAGCCTCTCCTAATGAATGAAGTCCTTCATTTCTGGTACCATCCTTTGCACCCACTCCAATGCCTTGACATACTTCCTAAAGTGTGGTGCCCAGAACTGAACACATTACTCTCGCTGAGGCCTATCCAGCATTTCATCATAACTTCCTGACTTTTGTATTCTATATCCCTATTTATAAAGCCAAGTATTCTATTTTGCTACAAGTCTCTTACGTGATACTTTATCAAACGCCTTTTGAAAATCCATATAAACTACATCAACTGCACTACCTTCAACCTCTTAATTCACTTCATCAAAAAATTCTATCAAGTTTGTTAGACATGATTTGCCTTCAACAAATCCATGTTTACTGTCCTTTATCAACACATATTTTCCTCAGTGAGAATTTATTTTGTCCCGGATTATAGCGCTAGAAATTTCCCCACTCACTACTGATGTTACGCTTACCGGCCTGCAGTTCCTGGGTTCATGCCTCTGCCCCTTCTTGTACAGGGGGGTAACATTTGCAACCCTCCAGTCCTCTAGCACCAGCCCGGTGTCCAAGGACGATGGAAAGATTGTGGCCAGACCCTCCGTTATGTCCACCCTTATTCCCTCAGGAAGCTAGGATGCATCCCGTCCAGACTGAGTGACTTATCTACATTGAGCAAGTCAACATTTTTAGTACCTACTCTTGGTTTATTCTTATTTTATCTAATCTCTCTCCCCTCTCCTCTGATACTGTGGCATTGGCTGCATCCTCTTCTTTTATGAAGACAGATGCAAACTATTCATTGAGTGCATCAGCCGTGCCCTCCCCCTCCACAAGGAGATTCCTCTTTGGTCCCTAATTGGACCCACTCTACCTTTGACTAACCTTTTATTCTTCATATGCTTCATGTTCTTCATTTATTCTTCATATGCTCGTGGAGTCCTGTAGCTCAGTGGTTAGGGCACTCGCTTTGCAAGCGAGAGACCTGAGTTCAATTCCAGGCAGAGGGCGAAACCTTGGGCAAGTTTCCTTACTCCACACAGAGCCTAATAATAATCCCTCCAAAACCAAAACAATAATAAATTGGTCATTTTCAATCTACGTCTACGACTGTTTGTGGGACATTGCTGTGCGCAATTGGCTGTCGCGTTCGCCCACAAATATACAGTCAATTCACTTTACAGTGTGTTCTGTGAAGCGCTTTGGGACGTCCTCCCAACATGAAAAGCGCTATAACAAATTCAAAGATTATTATTATTGTTATTATAAAATACCTTAGGGTTCCCTTTTATGTTCCCGCTAATCTTTTCTCATACAATCTCTTTGCCCCTTTTTAACTGTAAACTGTGACACATTCTTTTAAGGAATGTTTCACAGCTCTTTACACTGGATGCTAACACCCCAACAACCAGCCCCACACCCACCCCACCACCGCCCCTCCACTCCACCCCCACACCCCCACTCCCCACTGCCACCCCACCCCCACAACCCACCCGCACCACATAATAAACTAATTAGAAAAATTGAAGCCCATGCAGTAAAAGGGACAGTGGCAGAATGGTTACAACATTTTTAGAGTTAAGGAACAAAAAAGGAGCTGTGACGCTGGTAGGGGTAAACTATAGACTACCAAATAATGGGAAGGAAGTAGATGAGCAGATCTGGAAGCAGATCTCAGACAGATGAAGGCCAATAGAGTCGTGATAATGGGGGACTTTAATTATCCCAACATAGACTGGCAAAACAACAGCGCAAAGGGCAAGGAGGGGGAAAGATTCCTAAAATGCATACAGGACAACTTTCTTGATCAGTACGTTTCCAGCCCAATGAGGAAGGAAGCAGTGCTGGATCTAGTTCTGGGGAATGAAGTAGGGCAAGTGGAGCAGGTTTCAGTGGGAGAGCATCTGGGCAATAGTGATCACAACATCATTAGATTCAGAGAGCAAATGGAAAGAGACAACGAACCATCTAAGGTACTTAGATACTCAACTTCAAGAGGACAAATTTCAGTGAGTTAAAAGGGGACATAGCGATGGTGGACTGGAAATAAAAATTGGCAGAAAAAACGGCCAAAGAGCAGTGAGAAGTCTTCAAGGATGAGATAGCTCGGGGACAGAATTAAAACATACCCACAAAATGAAAAATATGGCTTCCAAATCTACCTGGTTGTCGAATGCAATTGTATCTAGAATGAAGCAGAGAAAGGAGCCGTGTGAAAAATGTCAAGCCCATGATACAGAAGGAAACCAAACAGAATATAGGAAGTGCAGAAGACGTCTGAAAAAGGAAATAAGAGGGCCTAAAAGATTGTACGAGTTAAGGTTAGCGGGTAACTTTCAAAATATTTTACAAGCATATCAAGAGAAAAAGGTTAGTCAAAGGTAGGGTGGGTCCAATTAAGGACCAAGGGGGAAATCTTATTGTGGAAGCAGAGGGCAATGGCTGATGGGCTGAATGAGTACTTTGCATCTGTCTTCACAAAAGAAGTGGAAGCACCAAATGCCGCAGTATCGAAGGAGAGGGCAGAGGAAATGGACAGGATAAGTATAAACAGAGAGGAAGTACTGAAAAGGTTGATAAGTCCCGGTCCGGACGGGATGCAGCCAAGGTTACTATGGGAGGACGGGTACAAATAGCGGAGGCTTTGGCTACAATTTTTCAATCTTCGTTGGACACAGGAGTGGTGCCAGAGGACTGGAGAGTGGCCAATGTTACTCCTCTGTACAAAAGGGGCAGAAGGACAAACCTGGGAACTCCAGGCCAGTACAGCCTAACATCAGCAGTGGGGAAACTCCTGGAGACTATAATCCGGGACAGAATACATCTTCATTCAGAAGAATATGGGTTAATTAGGGACAGCCAACATGGATTGGTAAAGGCAAATCTTGTCTAACAAATCTAATTTAATTTTTCGATGAGGTAATGGAGAGGGTGGATGATGGCAGTGCAGTTGATGTAGTTTATATGGACTGTAAAACGCATTTGACAATGTGCCACATGAAAGACTTGTAAGAAAGATAGAAGCTCATGGTATAAAAGGGAGAGTGGCAGCGGATCCAGAACTGTCCGGGAGACAGAAAGCAACAACAACAGCAACAACAAGATTCCATTTATAAAGCGCCTTTCACGTCAGGAGGACGTCCCAGGAGGACGCAGAGAGTTGTGGTGAACGGCTGCTTTTCTGACTGGAGGGAAGTGTACAGCGGTGTCCCCCAGGGATCGGTATTAGGACCACTGCTCTAATTAATATGCATAAATGATCTGGACTTGGGTATAGCAAGCACCATCTACAAGTTTGCAGACGACACAAAGTTAGGTCGGGTGGTAAACAGTGAGAAGGATAGGAGCCGACTGCAGGAAGACATAGACAGAATGATAAAATGGGCGACACATGGCAGAGAGATATGGAGCAGGCCAGAGCCTGCTGAATGGAGGGAGTGGATAGGTTCATAGAGGGTTAGCAGGTCAGAGAGGTGGAAGAGGGCAATGCCATGGAAGGCATTGAAAGTGAGGACAAGGATTTTGAACTCTATCCTCTGAAGATGGGGACCCAGTGCAGTCAGGCGAGGATGGGCGTGATTGGTTCCTGGAGTTGGTGCAGGAGAGGACATGAGCTGCAGAGTTCTGGATTATCTGCAGCTTGTGGAGGGAGGAGTTGGGGAGGCCGACAAGGAAGAAATTTCCATAGTCAAGCCTTGAGGTGACGAATGCGTGAATGAGGGTTTTGGTGGCCTGAGGAGTGAGGCTGTGGTGGAGTCGGGCAATATTGCAGAGGTGGGGACAGGCAGAGTGGGTTATGGCACAGATATGGGGAAGAAAGGACAGTTGAGGGTCGAACAAGATGCCCAGGTTGTTCCACCATTGGTGGAACGGAGGGCACGAGGGATATGCACAAAGCTGTAGACAGTCGAATGCAGGCAGCGTGTTGTGGGTGGAGGGGTAAGCAGGTCGGAGAGGTAGGGAGATGTCAGGGCATGAAGGGATTAGAAGTTGAGTGTTAAGATCTTGAAATCGACCCGTTCAGTGATGGAGAGCCAGTGAAGCTTGATTAAAACTGGTGTGATGGGGTAGAGTTTAGTACGGGTGAGAATGCAGACACACATAGAGCAGAACAGACACAAGCAGACAGCGACTGGACACAGAGTGAAATAGTGACAGCGACTTATTTAATGACTATAGAGGGTCCAGACAGGTCACAGATCACAGGCTCCAATCCTAGTGTACATCATATGTCCTGATCCATCAGCCTGCAACTGGCCTGGCAACATCTAGAAGCACATTTAGTCTTTTATTTCATACACAGTAACATCATACATGACTGGTAGGCAGAGCATTGGTTACAAAAGCTGCACATGGCACTACACCCAGTGTTATTGTTCCCCACCCTGGAATCATAGACATTACATGACAGGAGGAGGCCAATCGGCCTGTGTTGGTGTGAAGTCCTCCACTGGAGTTACTCATCCCAACCCCTTCTCTGCTATTTCCCACCACCTTTTAACAATATTTTCCACAATTATTGATTCAATTTCCCATTCAATGAGTTAATAATGCAGCTTCTGGAGACAAGTCCTCCTTCAAACCTGAGAGACAGGGAGATAGATAGAGCAAGAGAGTGAAAGCATGTGGAATATGGAGAGACAGAAAGGGGTATGGGTGGATGGAAGCAAACAATCAGTAAAGAATCAGCAGATGGAAAGAGAGAGAAAACTGGAAAGAGATAAAGAGTACGGTACACAGAATGATGTATATTTTGGTCGGCGGGTGCTAACACATTCAGAAACCCATCACTGTGCTTGAGAGTATCCCACTCAGAGAATTCCATGCATTCCAGCTAAACTTGGAATGGAATGTGTGCAGCTCCTCGGAGAGACACATCCTGCTCACCTAACTCTGGAGAGTTCTAGGCTCAGGTTGGCAAAAGCCAAGGCTTGGGGAAGCCAAGGTGTGCATTGGTGTAACTGCTGGAATTTAACCAGCTAAAATCTGCAGCGTTTAACAGAAGCTGAGTGTGAAGAATCCCAGTTCTCAGTGAATGTTCTGCTGCTCCAAATAGCAGTGAACTGGAGTACTGCGGAGCTGACTCGCTGAGGAACTGGACTATCGAGATGTCACAGATGGTGGACATGATTCTGACGTTCAATGACAGCTCAGGCCCGGGGAGACTCTGCTTACCCCCCCTGCCTCCACTCCCCGAGATATAGTGAAAGAGGATCAGAAATAGAGCTATGGGAATAAAGAGACAGACAGCCATGAGGAGAGATGGAAAGAGAAGGAGGCTGAATGATGAAGCATGTGCAGAAGCCACTCATTGCCTATGGCCCATCACATGTGTAAGAATCTGATAATCTCTTATTTGCTAATATCATTTAATGTTGAAGCTATTGCGTGTTTCTAACATGAAAAGCGTTGGTGAAAGTTCTACTAGTGAAAGCATGAGATGCGAACCTGATTCAGTAATGGATGAGGGTCAGGTTCCCTTCTCTAGCTCCTTTTAACCTGAACAGTGACTGAACCATGGAGAGAAGTTACTGTGAACATTTCAGTGATGGATCTGGTCCTTTGCACTGAGTGGGCAGTGACACAGGGCCTCTTGCCATTGACCTGCCGCTGATTCCCGCTCAGAGAGAATGGGCAGCTCTTCAGTGATACACCAGATTAGCCAAATGACAGCAGGTCACAAGCAACCTGGTGCCCGCCAGCACATTGGTGTCAGCTGGGCTCAGTTGGCAGCACTTTTGTCTGAGTCAGAGGTTGTGAGTTTCTAACCCATGTTGGGATTTTGAGCTCACAGTCCAGGCTGACACTTTAGTACAGTGCCCGGGGGGAGTGCATTGCTAGCATTAAAGGTCCAATGGCAGAAGGGAGTTTCACTCAGCCAACAAACCCCAAATAAAATGTATTCACTTCATGGCTGTTTGTTGCTGTGTGTAATTTGGTTATTAAAAAATATACGGTCACGAGATATTACAGTGAAACCTGTAAAAGTGCTTTGGGATGTCCTAATGTGAATGGCTCTGTTTCAAATGTTATTATGGGAACGATGACTGCAAAGATTTAAACTAACTGGAATGAGGAGTTATCTGACTCAAATCACTGAGCACGTGTAAGAATGTAACAATGGAGTGAGTTGTCCTCTCTGTTTGTCCGGTGGGAAGGCTGAAGTTTTCAGTGTGTGAATTGTCCGGTGAAGCCTCTTTCTCAATGGTTCAGTCACGGCAGCAATGGCTGAAAGTTGAAGGAACTGCAAGAATGAAAACAAAGAGAAGAGATGAACATTTTGGTGTGAAACATCCCCAGTACCTGGGGTGGGCCTGGCACAGTTGGTAGGCCCAGGCCTCGGAGTTAGTAGGTTGTGATTGAAGCCCCACATAGAGGGTTTGAACGTTACAGTTTAGGCTGATGTGTCATTGCAGCACTGGGGCTGAAAATCCCCAGATAAAACTCCATGGCTGTTTGTGAGATATTATTCTGTGCAAATTAGCTCCCGTTTTCATTACAACAATAACAACTTGCATTGATAGATTGTCCTTCATGTGGGGTAGCATCACAAGCGCTTACTGCACTATGGAGTCCTGTAGCTCAGTGGTTAGAGCACCCATCTCCAAGCAAGAGTCCTGGGTTTGATTCCCAGCAGGGCGCAACCTTGGGCAAGTTTCCTTACTCCACACCTGATAATAATCCCTCAAGAAAGAAACAACAATAATTTGGTCACTTCAATCCACAACTGTTTGTGGGACGCTGCTGTGCACAATTGACTGCCGTGTTTTGCCCACAAATATACAGTCAATTCACTTTATTGTATTTTCTGTGAAGTGCTTTGTGATGTCCAGAAGCCATGAAAAGCGCTATATCAATTGCAAGGATTATTATTATCATTATTACTGACAGTAATTCCTCTGAAAAGCTTTGAGTCGTCCTCCTGATGTGAAAGGCATCGTATCAATGTGAGGATTATAATTACCTGTAATCCTTTATCTTTAGATATCAATGTCATCTGACATGTCTTTAGTCGCTTCGTCCATTCCCTGATTCACTGTGTACTCAATCATCTTTTTCTCTTCTACAGACACAGGAGGGAGCACGGCCTCCAGGTTTTCATTGATTGTCTTGACTCTGCTCTCCAGGTTCCTGCTGTACTCCTCCTTGTTCCGAATTATCAGCTCCTGTATCCCTTTGGAAGCCTTGTCACAGTCACTATGTAACTTATTACGTTCAACGTCAAATTTATTCCCATCTTTTGTTGGATCCAAAGCGATGAGTCTTCCCAAACTGCTCACTCGATCCATCAGAAACTCACTAGATATTTCTACGTAGGAATCAGAAATCATATGGACCATGTTGATGATGTTAGTAGCCTGAAACGCTTCTGTATAGATCATATCTTTCATGAAAGAGGCCATAGAATATAGAGGAAGCTCGGAAGCCGTCTCAGTGTAGGAGACAAAATTCTTGACAGACTCAAGACAAAGTTTAATCAGATTGCATAACATCTGGAAGAAACAAATCATCTTGGCCCACTGCTCTTTAACTTTCCCCAAGGCATCAAGTCCTTTCATGAGGATCTGAATGGTTGTCTCAAAGTCTATTTCCTTCAGTTCACACCTCCTCATCCCAGCCAAGATTTCTGCCAGTTCCTTGTTGCTTCTCATCAGGTTTTGGAAGCTCTTTTCGTAACTTTCCTGTGATTTCTGGAACATCGATGTCGTCTGTTGGATTTTGAACCTGGCGTTTCTTACAGCTGCAGTACCAGCGCCTACCCGGCCAGTGCTTTCCTCGCTGTCTGCCTTTGCCATCTGTGGTGGTTGGACATTTAACCCGGAAGAGTTATTCGCTGCTGCGCAGTAGGTGCTGAACTTGCGCGCTTTGTTACAGACTGGATTTATCTGCGAGATGATCTTGCTCATCATCTTCTCATCCTCTGGGTTATTGTTCAGGTTATCAAACTCGCTATAAACCGAAATGGCCTGGTTGATCAGCTCCATGGCCCTCTGTTTAGGCTGACTGTCTTCCTCCTGTTCAAATTCACTTTTCAGTTTGACTAATTGACCCTTCGCCCAGTCTGTATTCAAGTCCCCAGTTTTCTGGTTAATCACAAGTTTCATGTCGATTTTCTGATCCTTGGTCACTAAGTCTTCAAGAGGGGTAATCCAATTCAAAACCTCATTGCCTTTGTTCAAGATTTTGACTGACTTTAGTAAGTCATTGCCAGAGAGCGGTGGCGAATGGGGTCCATTTGATGTGCTATCAGAGACTCCTGCGAAGCCTTTTATAATGGATGGTAGTGTAGAGGTGATGGTGTTGACAGTATTCAATAATCCGTCAACAAAATTCATTCCTAGAACTTCCCAGCCACTGGGCATAGAATTAAGTGCTGATTTGTAATCTTCTTGGCATTGTTCCATCTGTTTCTTCATTAACTTCTCCTGATTCAGTGTCATTTCTTTCATTGCTTTTGCGGACTCTTCTTTGACTTTATATTCTTTCATTTTCATTTTGACCTCTTCCAGGCTCTGCTCATGGGCACCTCTTGAGTTAGTGCAGGCCTCCAACAGCTCATTGACCAGAACCATCACTGCATTAAACTTGGTCTCCACAGATGTTGCCAGACTCAGGCAGGACTCTGCCGATGAGCTAACATTCCTCAGTACTTTAGGGAGGAGTGTGTGAATCATGTCTTTATTTCCTTGCATTAGGATCCTCACCGAGTTCTTTATATGGTTTGGAATGGTCAAAGAGTGAAGCCGTATGCCATCCATGTTCTTGTGGGCTTCGTTGAACGCCTCCCACCCTTGGTTGCTGACTTGCACCAGACAAGCACGGAACGACTGGGGGTATCTAATGTACTGGTAGCCATCTTTGGGCATGTTCTGATCGATGGGAAAGTCATCCTTTGCTGAAATGAATATCAATTCACCTAAAATGGACACAGCGATGGGTGCTGGCATCAAGAACTCTTCCCAGTTGCTGTAGGGCTTCATCATTAATGCCGTGTCTTGTCTGACATTGTCAGCCTTGGAGATCTTTCTCAGGGTGTTGTTGATCATGGCCACAGTGTTAGTTTCAGTTGTCATGGTGTCCACTTGGTCACTGCAAATAAACAGTTTTGTAAAACTGTCAACAAACAGCAATTGTATTTATAGCGGTGCCCTGGGGATAGAGCTTGGACCTTGGAAAGAAAAGAAGAGTTGGAGATGGGATGGCAGTGATGGGTCAAGGGAAGATTTTTGAGAGTGGGGGTAATGACAGCTATTTTTAAGGAGGTGGGAACGGTGACAGTGGCCAACGAGAGGTTGATGTCGGTTCGGGGCAATGAAGTGGAGCTGGGCTGTAGGGATGGGGCCAAGGGAGTGGTGGTGGGATTCATTTGGGAAATGATGAAAGTGAAGGTATAGGAAATTGGATGGGAGCGGAGGGGGGTNGGGGGAGCTGATGCTGAGTGAGGAAAGAGCTTCAATTGAGAACATGGGGTGGGTGGGGAGGGAGGAATGTCTGATTACGTGGAGAGTGAAGCGGAGCCTTATGCATGCACACTGATCGGCCTTGAATCAGCAAACGCAGAGCTCCATGTGAGACAGTCACAGGAACCTAATTCCCCACTCGTCATACGTATTCACCATCTGCATTACCAAAGGACCACATGCCCAATACAGAACAGTGAACAAGTACATAAAACAAGGCTTTGACCAACCATCATGGCATCAGGCAATCCAGACAGCCCAACTAAATGCTATTTACTGACAAGGACTGAGCAGAACTTCCAGATTCTCCAATTTTGCAAAGGAAATCCTGAAATAGAACCAAAGGACATGGGCTCCAAATTCGATTTGAAACCACAGACATTGAATGGGGGAGATCAGGCAGAGTGAATTGAGGGTTTATGTCTGATTCATCATTTTCTTAAAAAGTGATTGATAATTCAGTTACAGTGTTAATACTGTTTGACTTTATAACAGTTTATATTCTAATAAATGGGTTCTGTGTTGAAACCTGTTGTGTTGTGCAATTCATTGCAAAGGATATGTTTTGTGCACACGAGGTACAGCAGTGTGCAGAACTGGATATGGAAAGAAAGGTTATTATAGCTTTTATGCATGGATTAGACATGGTACAGAAAGCTGGCCTTAATGTCACCAGCCAACTCAGTACTTATTTGTTATCAGTTATATAAAATCCGACTTGTACTTAACTTTGCATAAGACATATATGATAAACCCCTCTATTACCCTCTCCTACACCCCTCTATTTCCCTCTCCTATACCATTCTATTGCCCCCTCCTACTCCCCTCCATTACCCTCTCCCACATCTGTCTGTTAGATTATAGAAGTTGTAGTCGAATAATAATAAAACATTAATGAACAAATGTAGAATGGAGAAAATACTGATGGTCATGGGACAGGACACATCTGGTTCTCTCTGGTTTTGAAGGAATAACAAGATAGCCTTGAAAAAGGGCACGAGGTCACCACTTGTCAGGGTATAACCAAACCCACATTTCTGTAGCAGTAACGGACCAAAGTACCGGTCGACACAGGATCTCAGCTTAACAATATGTCTCTACATTCTAACAGGGACTGCCAACTAACAGAATAGCGAACTAACGAGTAAGTTGTTTAAACTGGAGGACTTTGGTACCATCCTGAGATGTTGATAAGAGATAACCAGTCACTTAAAAGGAACGTACATAACAAAATAAATAAACACCACGTACAGACCTAAACTGATCAATCTCCTATCTTATTCAGGACAAAGAGAAGACCTCATCAATCAGGCTGGCACCAAGCCAAATGATTGATTAACCTGAGTACATGGCAGTACCAGAAGTAGGGAGGGAGGCCCTAGGAAAAGACACTAGAGAAAGAGTATTACTAGTCCATCTCTAAGAATGAAAGGAAGGACAGGAAGGTTCCCGAGTGAGAGAGAGAGAGACCAGAGCTGCGGGGCACCTTTCAGGAGAAAAAGAAAGGTGTCCCATGAATGTCTGCAAAGACTGGTAGTATGATGTGTTAAACAATTATAGCATAATGCAAGTTGTGTTCTGATCTAGTCCACCTCTAAGAATGAAAGGAAGGACAAGAAAGTTCCCGAGAGAGAGAGAGAGAGAGAGAGACACCAGAGACAAAAGGTCCCTTTAAGGAGAAAAAGAAAGGGGTCTCGTGAATTTATACAAAGACTGGTAGTATGATGTGTTAGACATTTATAGCATACTTATTAATGTAAGTGGTGTTCACTTTGTTCATAATAAACCTTGCTACACACCATATTTGGATTGTCGAGTCATATTTCCTAACCACGGGATCGGAAATCCCAACACCTCTATTCCCCTCTCCTACACTCCTCTATCACCTTCTCCTAAACCCTTCTCTCCACCCCTCTTTACCATCTCCTAAACTCCTCAGTTACCCTCTTCTCAACCCTTCTTCCCTTTTGTGTATAAAGTTTCTCTTAAATAAATTGATGCTTTTTCCTTCAACCGGAGACCTGCAGCTCAGTGGTAAGAGCACTCGCCTTGCAAGCGAGACACCTGGGTTCAATTCCAGGTAGGGTGAAACCTTGGGCAAGTTTCCTTACTCCACACACCTAATAATAATCCCTCCAAAGCAAAGAACAATAATAAATTGGTCATTTTCAATCGACGAATGTTTGTGGGACACTGTTGTGGGCAATTGGCTGCCGCGTTTCGCCCACCAATATACGGTCAATTCACTTACAGCATACTCTGTGAAGCGCTTTGACACGTCGAGAAGACGTGAAAAGCGCTATATCAAATGCAAGGATTATTTTTATATTATTATAGCCATGGCATCCAGGAGCGAGTTCCACTCATTCCCTTCACCACCCTCTGCATGAAGAAATTCTAGATACTAAATGCTCTCGTCTCTCTTGATGTGAAAGGTGCCATTCACCATCTTATATTTTTGCCCATTGGACTCACCCACATTCACTCTCTGAGATTATGTGAGCAGAATGTGTCTCTCTGGGGAAAGAGTGTTCATTCCTCCCACGTGCACTACAGGGATATGTGGACTCAGTAGATCACAAGCTTGGTTTGGATGAAGAAGGCACTTCAGTCCATCCAATCTCATCCTTGTTCTCTCTCACTCTGATTCTCCCCCTCTCTCTCTATCTGGTTCTTTTGGTCATCCTCCTACCCCACCCCCTTGCCCTCAACCCCCTTAACTCCAATCCCCAGCACAGTGCAAATCCTTCACTGTCGAATACTTTAGGACATCCTCCCGACATGAAAAGCAAAATATAAATGCAATTTATATTGTTTATATTTCGTTAAAATTCTGTTTTTCTTGCAGCCTTCTTAAACCTATCAATCTTTCCACTTCCTCCACTCAGCGGGCACTAGCCTTGCCCCCGCCCTACCCGCTCCACACTGCCGAGTCAGGATTACAACCTATCTGCCACACTCTCTGGGACTGTATCCCAGAGTCCCTATGAATCATTCCTCTCTCACTTCCTTCAAGATCCATTGCAAGATCTTCTCTATAGCTGCAGCTTCAATATTTTTCCCTTCCCAACTCTCCCAAATCTAACCCCCAACTCAGTGCAACTGTTGAAGTCCCAGTGCCTTGTGACATGCTCCTGATGTGAAAGGCACTGTATAAATGCAATATCTTATTGTTCTACACTATTGTCCAGTAGTCCCAGGTCAGCTATAGCACAGATAGATAATAGTAATAACAAACCTTGTATTTAACAAAGCAACTTTAACATTGGAATGATCTTCCAAACCACACAATGTGTAGTGTAGTGACTCTGTATTGTGTGGGTGTACATGGCCCACAGGTCATCTGCAGCGTGGTTTAGAGGTAGAATAGGGCTCTCTGTCTGTCCACAATCTGAATCATCATAACAGACAGAATAACTCTTCTTCTGCACTGTCCAGCCACACTCCCGGGGCAAGGAAAGAGACAGAGTCATGCTCCGTCTACACTGTCCATCCACACTCCTGCAACAGGTTAGAGAAGAGCTCCCTCTAGACTGACCAACCATACTCTCAGGCCAGGGTTAGGCATGGAGGAAAGATATCCCTCTACACTGTGCATTCCCCAGGCCCAGGTCAGGGTTACAACGACAACGTGCACCTATATAGCACCCTCCACACAGGTTAGAGTGTGAGGATCTTGAAGTCGATCGTTCGGTGATGGGAAGCCAGTGGAGCGTGGCCAGAACTGGTGGGATGGGGGTATGGAGTTTGGTCCGGGTAACTATGTGGGCAGCAGAATTCTCAATGAGCTGGAATTTTTAACAGTGGAGTGGGGGAGACCGGCGAGGAGTGCGTTTGAGTAATCCAGGAGGGAGGTGACAAATGCTTGCACGAGGGTTTCGACTGCATTTGAGGTAAGGTACGGAGCATATAGATGTGGAAAAGAAGGCAGCCAAGGATGGAGCCCTGGTGTACCCCGCAGGTGACCGATGACCAGCAGTTGGGTGGGCCAACGCAGCAAGTGGGGAACTTCATGTGAGTGATTGAGAGGGAGGAGGGAGAAAGTGTGCAAAAGATTGTAATGAGGTGGGGAGTTGCAGGAGCTGTGGCAGAGGGAGAAGGCGGTGTGGATGGATTGGGTGAGGTGGAACAGGACCAAGTTGGGGGGTGAGAGGGAGATCAATGCAGTCGTAGATGTTTTCAAACTTTGAGGTGAAGAAGTAAAGGTCATCTACACACTTAGCATTTGATGTGAGGATAAAGGCGCCTTGAGGGGTGGCATGGAGGACTTGATGGACAATGGAAAACAGTGTCATTGGGTTGTTTTTGGCCTCCAGGATGACTTTGGAATAAAAGTTAGTTTCAGGGAGAGGCTGTAGGTGCGGAGGTCGAGCCACAGTTGGCAGTGAATCGGGAGACCAGATATCTGCCATCTGCGCTCAAGAGTCAGGGTTTGATTTTAAGTGAGCGGAGATGACTGTTTTGTACCAGGGGGAGTGAGTGGATTTGGAAAGAGCCTTGGATTTCATGGGAGCCAGGGAATTGGAGGTTGTGGAGAGACAGTCATTCAGCAGCTTGATGACTGCATCAAGATCACTGCGGGTTAGAAATAGAGTAATTCACCCTCTACACTGTCCGTTCCCCAGGCCC